AGATGTGACCTAGTGAGTTAAAACTGAACTGTTGGTTTAGTTGAGATGTGACCTAGTGAGTTAAAACTGAACTGTTGTTTTAGTTGAGATGTGACCTAGTGAGTTAAAACTGAACTGTTGGTTTAGTTGAGATGTGACCTAGTGAGTTAAAACTGAACTGTTGGTTTAGTTGAGATGTGACCTAGTGAGTTAAAACTGAACAGTTGGTTTAGTTGAGATGTGACCTAGTGAGTTAAAACTGAACTGTTGGTTTAGTTGAGATGTGACCTAGTGAGTTAAAACTGAAAAAGCATGTTTTCAAGCAGATATGGTTATGTTTTTTGGTTATGTTTTTGCCACATCACATAATAAACTAGAATACTGTCCCAACTCAGATTGCCTAATTTATTGTAGAGCAGTGTTTCTCAAAGAGAAAAAAAAAAGGGGGGGGGGGTGTGTGTTCACAGTCGCCAGCTCTGTGAGCCCTTGTTCATTGTTTTAAAAAAGTGAAACATTTAAGAAGCTCCAAAAAGGACAATAAATTATTTATAAGGTCCAGGTTCTGCAGATATCTAGGCTCACCAGTCAACCAAGACTGACATGGGGTCTGCGCACGGAGACAAAAATGTATGGATTATTCTAAATGGAAGGATGTGGTGGAGCAAGCCAGGGCCCTGAATGGGCTGTGGTGCCATTGATGATGAGAGATGATCTAGGCAAATTTCTAACAGTTTATCTCACTGACAAGGTTTGAGAAGCACTGTTATACAGGGAGCTGACAAGTTTGAGAAGCCCTGCTATACAGGAAGCTGACAATCTGGGACAGGACACCACCCAAACAATTTCTCAAGTGTCCAGATTATGCCTAAATGTGAAGCACACATCACGAAACTGATGAGAAGGGTTACCGAGTAAAGCCAGAGGAATATTATGATTACACTGCAGGTGTGTATACCTGGAGATGATATGTCTCATTGAATTATAAATCATCCTACCAACCCGCTTCTGTCATTGTATGCATGTGTAGGCCACATGATCTACAACTGACAAAGAGTCCATTCAACATTGGGAAACAACATTTCTTGGCATGAGTCTATTGAACAAATGTAAGGACATGTCTTCGAATTCTGACTGTGTCGATTAGGCATCAATAATGAAACTACTGGAATTTTTTTTTTTCAACATAAAAAAACTAACAGAAGGTTTCGAAAACAAATTTAACATCTATTACCATGTATAATGTGAAATATTAACATGGCATCAAAGGCCTTTTTTCAAACAAAAATGTAGGTGTTCGCATTAAATATTATGGAAACTATCATACACTGTAATACACTACAGTCAGTACCCACGGTAATACACTACAGTCATTACTATTTGGCGTTTTTTCTTGTCCAATAGTTCTCTATTTTTAAATGTAAGACACCATATTGGTACAGCTGCTCCATTGGTGGAGTTGTCCATACTGGTACACGTGCTCATCTACATTGATGTCACTGTCATGGAGTTAAAAGGATGCACAGTCAGGCAGCGCTACTGATCTCTAGTGATGAGTTATGGAGCAGATTCATAAAGTGGATGATAAGTCAGTTCAATGAAGATGGACTCAAAAGTTGGGAGGAGAATGTGTGATACAATTAATATTTAAAAAAAAAAGACCAAAAAAAAAACTACAAGTCAAAGATTCTAGTGCAACTAAGATTTTGGCCACAGGACTATAATAACATGACCAGGATGGTGTGGCACGCACACAGTGAAGCACCAATAAAAGAATACTCGTCAAATAGTCTCTTGTCTAAAGTGAGGTCACGCATGGAACCATTCAATCATGACTTAAGAATGGGAGGTGTATCTAAGATTAGACTTGACCTAGGAACAGTTTCTAAAGTCAGACATGAAACCATTCAGTCATGATTTGAAAAAAGGAGCTCTGTCTAAGTTCAGAAATGACTTAGGAACTGTTTCTAAGATCAGACGTGGAACCATTCAGTCATGACATGAGAAAAAGAGCTCTATCTAAGATTAGACATGACTTAGGAACTGTTCCTACAATCAGACATGGAACCATTCAGTCATGACTTGAGAATGGGAGCTGAATCTAAGATTAGACTTGACTTAGGAACCGTTTCTCAAGTAAGCCTTGGAACCACTCAGCCACTTAGTATGACAGTGAGACTGAATCAAGCGACATGACATGTCTTTCTCATTAATTATTTGATAAAAAATATTTTAAACAAAACAACTACCCAACATTAAATACATGAAAAAAATAAATTGACATTAAATAGATTTTAAAAAAATGGTAACACACAATTCTGACTGCATAAATAATATGAGCAAATCATAGCACCTATGAATGGGACTATAGTCAATTAGAAATCATTCAGAGCATAACTTCAACTTAACATGCAACTCTGGGACGCGTAACAAATATGAAATATTCATTTTAAAGTTATTCAAATTGCTCCCACCCCCCCCCCTTCCCTTTTCGGTTATTTTAACCTGCACAAAATTTCCCAGTTTTTAGATAAACCAATTATTATAGTCTAATTTAACAAAGTTAAACTGAATCCTTCACATGAAAATATTTCTCTATAAAGTAAGAAAAGGCTTTTTGACGATAAATAAGCTGATATTTATGTAGCTGATGAATTAGAATTAGTTCCCGTCATCAGTAAGTACATCTGTGTTGATCAATGCACATAACTTATAGTGTAGCGTAATGAAAGTAACACTTACAACTGCCTGACCTCTATGAAAGCAGCAGCAAATAGGACAGCGTATTCAAAGATAATAATATTATAGACACAAGAAAAACTTAGAGATTGGCTGATGAAAAAATCTGTTGCTGAAAATGTGAAGCCTGGACGACGTCGACAGATGCCGAGAAAACAACATAGGAGAATTGTGAGCCAGAAACAACAATTGGTGCGGACCGGTTCTTCCACTAACAACATAGGAGGTGACTAACTGAGGTTTGTCGTTTAGAAGGACGAAGAGGAGTCGTCTTCCTCAGGTGGTCGGTCCTTGTATCTGTCCTGACGGATCTTCATCAGCCGTTTGCGTGCTTCAATGAGTTCTCTCTCTTTCCTTATGATCTCTTCCTGTGCTTGAATTTCCTGTGGGAGTAAAGAATTCATGTTTTAATTTCCATGCTCTTCCATGTTTTATATTATTAGAGGATTATTGTACAGTTTTATTGAATGTCCTGTCTTTACCAAATTGTACAGTTTATTGACTGTTTGTCCCTGTCAGGTTGTACAGTATTACTGAATGATTGTCCCTATCAGGTTGTACAGTATTATTGAATGTTTGTCCCTATTAGGTTGTACAGTATTATTGAATGTTTGTCCCTATCAGGTTGTACAGTATTATTGAATGTTTGTCCCTATCAGGTTGTACAGTATTTTTTAATGTTTGGCCCTATCAGGTTGTACAGCATTATTGATAGTTCTGATAATCTTGTTTAATGAATTGATTGATGACTTTCCCATGCCCAGATGGCGAAATACTAAGGCCGCTGACATCTTAATGAAAATGGGCTCCCTTTGCTTCCGTTTTCCATATGATAATATCTGGTTTTCCAAAAACTTGCTTTCTAAAAATTTTTATATCAATGTAGATTTTTTTAGTAGCCAGGGCTAATTTTTTTTATTATTAAAAAGGCTCCGGACGATGTGTTTGTGAGGAAAAAATATACAATTTACATAACTAATTCTTTCTGAGATTCCAAATTAAGCCAAATTTGTTAAAAAAATCATTATATTAATATGACACCTGAATTTCTTATTTAAAAAAAAATACGGAAACAGGTGATAGCTTCTCCTTGGCATAAAATATCTATGTATCCGTGACATATGGACAAACATGGTATAAAAATCATAAAACGGTTACGCTTTCATTGGGTACAGTACCAACAAATATTTGTGTATTTTTGATAGACGATTTATGAACTATTTTTTAATTGACAAATTGGATTGCGTGATAGAGTAGTACTATTATGACCAGAAGTAAGCAATCTTGTATACAGAATAAAGCTTTTTGTATGTTTGTATTTACGATTCTAAAAAAATACAGAAACAGATGGATAGTGTGGACCGAGGGCATACTACCAATAAAACTAGAAGCTCAATTGAAGAGGGTTTTGAAGACAGGTTCTTTGACTCAAGAGATGGGGGTGTTCTCTAACACCTGGGGGTGTAACACAGGTAAAAGTCCTCCATGTATTCACTAAAACTTCGAATAAGATCATGCACCCTCTGTTATATGACTAACATCGTACCGTGATCTTACAGTCTCTATTATATGACTAATGTTGTACCGTGATCTTACAGTCTTTATTATATGACTAGCATTGTACCGTGATCATCTTACAGCCTCTATTATATGACTTACATTGTACCGTGATCTTGCAGCCTCTATTATATGACTAAAATTGTACCATGATCTTACAGCCTCAATTATATGACAAACATTGTACTGTGATCTTACAGTCTCTATTATATCATTAATATTGTACCATGATCTTACAGCCTCTATTATATGATTAACGTTGTACTGTGATCTTACAGCCTCTATTATATGACTAACATTGTACCGTGATCTTACAGTCTCTATTATATGACTTACATTGTACCTTGATCTTACAGTCTCAATTATATTACTAAAATTGTACCATGATCTTACAGCCTCTATTATATGACTAACATTGTACCGTGATCTTACAGTCTTTATTATATGACTAACATTGTACCGTGATCATCTTACAGCCTCTATTATATAACTAATGTTGTACAGTGATCTTACAGTCTCTATCACATGACTAATGTTGTACTATGATCTTACAGTCTCTGTTATATTAACTAATGTGGTACTGTGATCAGATGGTATCTATAATCTATAACATATGCTGTACGATGCTCTGACGCCCGCTATTCTATAACTAAGCTATGCAGATGAGATGAAACCAAGCAGTAGTTTAAACAGTTACACGGCCAGTCAATGAACGCGCCCCCAATTAAAATTACCTGTGCTATGCCTCCAACCATCCTCTTGTTGACGGTGACGGCAGAATCATCATCAATATGATCTTTGGCTTGTTGTGCTGCCTTGACCAGAGCCTCCGTGGCTCTCTTCACTGCATTGCCAGCAGCCTGGACAGGACAGAAATAACTGGGCATTAACTTACTGTGTGCCTCCACCCAGTATCTACAATAATAAAACATGGACAACAAACACTATCATATATAAAATAACACTGGTCAGCAACATTACCGTTGCACATATGCCAGTACATGGATGCTGCAACGTACCCTACCAGAACATGTACTCAATAGGTCTGTGACCTGTATGTAGGCATTCAAGAATAATTTCCTAAAACTGGTTCCCTATCTAGTTTCACAATCTTTGTGCCCCACATGTGAAAGAACAATATTGGTTCCCACACTGTATGTAGAAAGTTGGTGCCCAACCTGTGTATGTAGAGGGTTTTTTGCCAACTGTATGTAGAGGGTTTTTTGCCAAACTGTATGTAGAGGTTTTTTTGGAAAACTGTATGTAGAGGGTTTTTTGCCAAACTGTATGTAGAGGGTTTTTTGCCAAACTGTATGTAGAGGGTTTTTTGCCAAACTGTATGTAGAGGGTTTTTTCCCAAACTGTATGTAGAGGGTTTTTTGCTAAACTGTATCTAGAGGGTTTTGCAGACCTGTTTACCCTTGCCCTTTCGCCACAGTAACTACGTTTTACAGCTGAAGACTACGGCCAGCCTTAAAAAAAAACAACACACTTTCAGGAGTTTTTTCTTTTCTTTGGTTTCTTAATAATTAAAACTAAATAATTGGGGTGTTTTCAGTAAAAAAGTTACAGCAATTTTTATGTTAACACCACCGTAAGCAGTCGAATAAGAAAAGACAGCCTTCAACACATCGGAGAACCATAACTTGTTTATTTCTTTATGTTAACTTATATTAGCAGCTGAGTGATTTCTTGACACAACTCATATTTTGATTGTTAACACCCCCCCCCTCCACCTCCCCCCCTTTCTCCGTTAATTGACCAAACTACTCTTTGGAGCTTGAAACTATTTTTTTTGAGAGCTGAAAACTACTCGGGGGCGGGGTTTAAACAGGTCTGGATTTAGTCACCAACTGTATTGACACTATCAGTTCCCCATCTATAGTTTCAGCATAGGTTCCCTACCTGTAATCTCTTCCTGGCCATAGAGTCTGAGTCAGCCTTGACCTTGCAAGCCATCAGTAGCTGAGCTGTGGATCCTGCCACCTCTTTAGCCGATGCAATCAACCTTTCTTCACTGGCATGACCTTGAACCATGGCATTGGCTGCCTCACACAGGCTGTGGGTGGCTGCAGCCACCATCTTGGCCTGAAACAACAGATGCGAGTTTGGTCGTCATTATTGAAGCAGATAGCTTATTTAAATTGTATATAATATACATCCTACCGACTAAATTCAAAGTAAAATGAAAGAAAGAACAAATTTAGCAATTTTTTTATGAAAAGGCATGTAGACAAAAACTTTTTATTTGTGTGATTTTATCCTTAAATTAAAACCAAGCTCTAATGTTTACCAGACTCTTACACTAGGTTCTTGTGTCTTTAACTGATGTTACTTACAGCAGAGATCAGACCCTGTGACCACTGCCCATCCTCGTCCACTGCATGCCTTGTGTATGTGGAGCCGACCTTCCCCTGAGCAACCAGCTCCCTCTGTGCAGCCGACGCTGACTTAACCAGGGCTGCTGTGGCTGCGGCTATTGACTTGGCCGCTTCCAAAATTTGTTCCTCAAAGTCCAGGTCTTCATCAGCTTTCTGGAAAGGAAGAGGTGTTTTTTTTTTGTTGGTGAAATCAGTCCGAGTGACTCATGCCAAAATTATAAATACACCAGAGCTACTTGACTATCTATGTGTTTACAGTGCAAATATGGTGAATTGTGGAACACATACAGAAGGGAATAAAAAAAGTATGTAATAAATTTATCATATAAAATAAATTCATAATATAAGATTTAAAAAAAAATAGAACAAGCTAAATATTATAAATATATTTCATATTAATATAAATCGTTTATGTTTTAATAACAGACACTGATACAAGAAAAATGAATTTAAATTTATTTCAAGTGACTGTTTTATTTATCAACTCTCTTCCTTGAACAAATAGATAAGTAGAAACCAAACAATAGGGTTTTAAGGAGGGAAAAAAAAAATTTTAAGAGTGTAAAAAAAATCATTAGAAGTAAAGTTAATCTTAAAATATATCTGCATCTGCCACTGAAAATATTCATGTACAGAAGGCGTGTCAAAGCAAAACATGTGATAAACTGTTAGCAGTTAAAATAAAAGCTATTCATAATCAAATTGTTATAAAAGCTATTCATAATCTAATTGTTAAAAGACTATTCATAATGAAATTGTTTTAAAAGCTATTCATAATAAATTTATTTTAAAAGCTATTCATACTCTAATTGTTATGAAGAGATTTTTTTTTTAAACCAAGGGATAAAGAAAAAGAAATAAATCAATTAAAGGTTGAGTGAAATAAAAAGTCTTAAATTAGTGTGCTTATTTACTTTTTACCTACATAAAACAATATAATAATACAGGTTTAGTTCTTGTTGGATTGTTGGATACAACTGCGGTTAAAATCCACCGAGACAAGTAACTAATAGGCAGAAAGCAACTGATGGCGTATGACAACAGAGGTGCTACGTTACTGGTGAGGACAAGGAGGGTTGACGACACTGATGGCTACCTGGCCGCCGTTGTGACATGTCTGATATCTGGTGAATCTGGTACACACCACCAAATATATCAAACATATCTAACAGTGACCAGTCTATCTACAGCTAGGTGATACTACACTGGCCGGGTACTACATACACACCACACACACACACAGACCACCACCACCACCATCACCAAATATTACAGGACAGAAATGATGTTAATGAAGTTGAGGCAATGTATTAAGCCAAGTTTAACAAAGTCTTGACAAAGAGCATAATTTCATAGAAGCTCATAACTTCCGTGAAAAACAATAACCGCATTAAAGAATCAATTCTGAATAAAAATTTGAATGTATTTATTTATATATTTATAATAATAAGAAAGGGAGATCAGGAGAGAATGAGAGAGAGATGGGGAGAGAGAGAGAGATAGAATCTATCTATAAAATAAATTAATCTTAAAAAACATTTTTTTAAAGCACAAAATAGAGGATTAGTGCAGGTGACATGTTGAGTGACATGAGGTGTGACAAGGAAAGAGGATCCACACAAAAAAAAGTCAAATTAACCACTAATACAAACGCTTTTTTTAAAATCACAAGGGAAAAAAAGTTAAAACCACAGCAAGCAGACCAGAATATGACAGCTAAAGTAGGCATATACTGTTTAACCACACCGGCATCACTTAAGCTCTCTACGCCACCCAGTCTCAGTCTATCAGTTACCTTGGCCTGCTGTCGTGGCTTCAGCTGGGCCAGCTTCTTGGCCGCAGCCTCAATGGAGCTGGCCGCGGTGAGGAGTTCATTCTCTGCGATGACTGTGGGGTCATCGGGGTCAACCCAGTCCGAACCTTAGTAAATGAAAACAGTAGGAGGTTAGTCACAGAACATCAGATTGACACAGGCAACACACACAAAAAAAAAACATACTGGATATAGTATATTTCAGTTAAATTTTTATCTCTTAATTGTAACAAATAGTTATGAAATAAATTCATTGACTGAATGATAAAGATATATTAATAATACATATATTGATTGATTAACATGTAAAATTCATTTAATAAATCTGGGCATGATGATTTAATCGTTTGAATGAAAAGCTACACAGTAATACAGGCAGGTTTAATAAATATATAAAATAGGTATATTACTAAATACATCAATAAGTTGCTCAATCAGAGATTATAGTTTAATTTTAAAGAAATCAGCTCTGAATGATATTTTTTTTCAAGACTGCTTTAAAAGAATCGTAGATAGATACTGACTATAAATATAATCAATACAAGTAAACCACTGCATTTTGTTCTAATGACTGCTACATAGAAAAGTGCGCCTCACCAAAACATTTTTTTTTAAATTAAATTTTTTTTTTTCAAATTCAACATTTTAAAATAATTAATTGATTGATAAAACACTAGAGAAATATTCGTCACTGCATTTACTTCCTCATTAACATTTTTATGTCATTTGTCACAGGCTGAAATGGATACAATTTCCTGAGCACAGCCAGACATGAGGCATGTGTCACCCATAAAATGAGACATGTTGCTTGTGTGTTAATCCTGGATAGTCTCCTTGCTTAAGTCTTGGCTGCTCAATAGATATTGGATTAGACAAAAGAATTGGCAACCAGGTGTATTCAGTTTTTTTTTTTAAATTGTAAAAAATCAAATTTGAATAATTTTTTTTTTTTTAACAACTAGATTTTTGTTTAGCCTTTTTTTTTTTTTTTTTTTTACTTTCAAAATCAAAGTTTTAAAAAAAATTGGCAACCAGGTGTATTCAGTTTTTTTTTTTAAATTGTAAAAAATCAAATTTGAATAATTTTTTTTTTTTTAACAACTAGATTTTTGTTTAGCCTTTTTTTTTTTCTTTTTTTAACGTCCAAAATCAAAGTTTTGTGGCAGGCTTGTCTCTAAGTTGATGAATACACCAGCACCACGGCTCATTTGGTGGGTGATGCACAGACTCATCAACACAACATTTCCCATAAAGCTATGCTGACCCTACAGCCCCCCACCTGGTCATTGACTAGACAGGAAACATAACTCAACTTTAATTAAGTTTCAGGAATATTGAAATAAACATTATGATCTTTAAGATTTAGAAACATATTTAGAAAAAAATAATAACGACATGGAATCCAATCCTATTTGAAATACTTCAGAATAGCTCTGAATAATTGATTTACTTTGATTCAGTTCCTGTAATTGAAAAAAAAAAAATGGAACAAAACTAAGGTCTTCATTGGTTCCACTGTTAAATATTGGACTGACTTATTTAGAGGCTATTACTTGCATCAATGATGGCAAAACAAGCAGCACATGAGAGAGAGAGAGAGAGGAGAGAGATCATGCAAACCTCTAGTCTAAGCATGCGCAACATGACCATTGTTAGGTTAAAAACTGTTACCACACAGAGAGATAGTCTTAAAGGTTCCCAACTAGAGGACAGCACTGGTTAAGCAAACAATATGGCAAGAGGTGGGGATGGATTGAAAAGGGGGAGGGGGGGACACCCCAGTTTTAAACCAGTTACAGCTTAAGAAGTTATTTTTGAAAAAAATAACAACTCAAAATCCACAAGTTCAAAATAAAAGTTAATAAAAGATTTTTTTTCAAATCCTGTCAACAAAGGAGGTAAATGTTCAAATAATTTTTACTTTACTTATAGTACAGCATTCAGGGGGTAAATTTATGAAAAAAGGGGAAACACATTTTCTTGAAGGTTGTATTTGGCTGGGATATAGTGTTATTCAATGTGGGAGAGCAGGATTTCTTTAGGGTATGGTGTTTCTCTAGGTGGGAGTCTGAGAGAGCTAAGATAAGAAGCTATTTAATTTCAAAATAATCATGAAATGTCATGTTCTGTGGACAAGACATAAAAAAACACCAACTGACTAATTCATTCATTGTTATCAAGTTTATGCTTTGTATGGTAAGGCACAGGGCATCAGGGTGATATCATAATCTGATGCAAAGGGGAAAAAAACATGTACGGAGAAACTAAACAATTAATGCTTTAAAACCAAAAAAAAAAAAAAGAACCAAATATTAACAGAATTAAATAAATTTGAATTTAATCATTAAAAAATCATTTTCATTTAAATGTTTCACATCAAGAGCTCTATGAGGCAATCAAATTAAGGAGAACAAACTTCAACAGTGGTTTTCGTGCTTTTTAAAAATGTGGACCATTGAAAATGGTAAGAATAATTGCCTATCTTCAAAGAGGTATTTTAAAAAAGTGTGTGTAGTTTATTAGTATTTCATGAATTAGTTGTCAATAGTAATCATAATTTTTAAAAAAAATGTTTTTAAATAACCGGAAACTGAGCAGTAAACTAAACTGCTTAACTCAGAATGCTTAGAGATATTGAATTAACATTGTGTTGTTTTTAAAAAGTAAGGCTCGCCAGCAGGAAATATTTGCAGATTTGCCCTGTATTTTGCAGAGCAGGCACTGCAAATCACTGGCAGACAAGATCTCCTACATATACAGACAAGATCTCCTACATATAACAGTGTCCCTGATGATTTTTGTAAAAAAATTATTTTTATTTTTTTAATTTGACAAATCAAAACAAAATTAATACAACTGAATTTGTAATTTAAAAGAAAAAGAAATAAGAAACTCACATAAATACCTTAATGCATATCCTTAATAAAGTTATTAATTATGTTTTACAGGGTGCATCTCATTCTAAGACCTGAAGATTGAGAACTAAAAAAAAAGATAAACTAAACACTGACTAACAATAAGCAACCGAGGAAGAGATGGGCCATGCTGCTAGGAACAATAACTGTAAAACATCTAAGGAAGGTAACTGAATGGATTACTGTACAACAATGACTAGAGTGGGAACTGATGGGGAAAAACTGATATGGTGAGACTATGTGAACAACTATAGGCTTAGACGAGAGGTTCTCAAATACTGGGCTTCTTTTATTTAAAAAAAGATAATACATCAGTTTTGTCCATTAATTTGCATAATGTGTTATCTCTAAGCATGGAAGCTGAAGTCGTCAAACATACTTAGAATGGTGTTTTCTCTTGCTTTTACCATGGTATCAAAGCTCAATGAACCCCCCCCCCCCTGCATCGAAGAGTGTCTTGAGAACCTCTGTCTAATGAACAATTGAAAGGGATTACCTGCTACCCAATGGGACCAGCGGATTTCTAAAGTGTCTGAGATCATAACAAGGGGTCAAGGGTCAATGACAAAGTTTCAATTAAAACACTTGGCAAAACACGCGAATAAAGTCTGACGTGTCTCCCCTCCCACCCCCAAGCACTCCCTATTATAAATCTCAACAGCAGTTCATTATGTGTGTTGGTTTCATTCTTTCAATAATTCATTTGATAGTCGTATGAATTTGATGATATAGGACTGTTTGCTCTGTCAGGTCAAACTTTAATAAAATGATAATGAAGGAAAATAAACTTTTAAAAAACATCAACCTGTGGGTTATTACTTTAACGGGAGCGTTGCCCTTACAACTAAGGAACTCCTGAAAAGACTACTATTAGCAGGTTAAAACCCTGCTTGAAGAAAAGAAACATTTCGCTTGAAAGGGTATTTGATGTTTACTTTACCAGAGGCTCCCTCTGACCGATGCGGACAACAAGCTGTTGAGAATATTAGCCTAAAATTATCCAAATATTTTGCAAGTTATTGCATTTATGTTAGTATGGTGGTGGTGGCCATGTTTATGTTTTTTTGTCTTCTTTACATCCAAAAATCAATTACATCTTATTTTAAAATGGTATATAAATGTACCAACAATTTTTAAAAGATTAAAATTCCAATTTATAGAACCTAGAGAAATTTTGTTTTAAACACTTCACGGAGAGACAGTGATTGCCATTTCGCTCACGGTAGCATAGTAAAATGTATTTTAAAATATATACATAAACCATCAACAGCAGTCATTTAGTTCAGGATTTTTGTTTGAAATATGGACCCCCGGCAAGAGATGCTAATAGGACTAAACAAACCCTTAAATTCCTCCGAACATATTTCATCAATTTTTTTTTTTCTTTGCTCATGAAAAAATAAACCTCTCATACCATGAAGGAAAAAAAAAATTGAGATTAACTACTAGCACTTGGCCATCAGACAGTCAAACATTGGTGTGCTCAAGCCCAGCCCCAGCATATAATCTTAAATCAGTCTTAACAACTTTTCAAACAAACAAAAAAGAATTGTTCCATCATGAAACAGAATGGAGGAGAACGCTGATCAAAGGGTTACAGAGAAAGGTCATAAAGCATCCATTCAACGAGGGGGAAATATCTTCACAATGCCAGTTGGTCCTTAAGAAAGAAAAAGAAATGTTGAGGAAAAAAAAAAAAAAAAAAAAAAATTAAACAAAATAAAAAACAAAAGAAAATAAAAAAACAAAGGGTTAAAGAGAAAGGTCATAAAGCATCCATTCAACGAGGGGGAAATATCTTCACAAAGCCAGTTGGTCCTTAAGAAAGAAAAAGAAATGTTGAGGGAAAAAAAAAAAAAAGCCAAATGTTATCAAACTTAAAAACAAGGGGAAATGATAAAGATTCAAGGGGAAAAATTGTTGAATATGCCAAAAAATAAAAAGGTAGGAAAACCCCAGAAAATTTGATGTTTAAAAATAAAAAAATAATAAAAGACTTTATTAATTAATTTATTTTTTCTCAATTTGTACTCACCACCCACTTTTGTAGAAAATAGAATCATGAAATAAAAGTTGTGACAGCAAATAAATTATAACATATCAATGAAACTTTAAACAAAAAAATAATTGAAATTACAAATTATACCAGACAAGGGACACAACTGACACTTGCAAGAGTGTTGACGATTTTTGTAATAACCAGGCAGGATAAGTGAAGAAAGCTTGGTGTCCAGACACAGTGACAAGCCACTAACAACACTGACAGGGGAGGGCTGCTATAAGCTGATGGCTTTTATCCACTTGGATTATTATTATTTTTTTTAAAATTTATGTTCTTTCAACAGAAGTCACAAATGGCAAGGCCTGACGTAATGCTGATCACAAGTGGCAAGAAATTCTAGATGACATTACAACAGGTAAACTAAGGTTGTTTTCTTCCACCTATCAAAAGGTAAACTTATCTTTCACCATTCAAAAGGTAACCTTACTATTCCTCCAGAATCTTTTTGTTCAAACCGTGTAAGTTTTACTATTTTTAATGTACATTTAGTTAGCATAAATCGTGGCGTTTGTGTTACAAGTGTAAAAGATGTCTTTGCCATCATGATATCTGCAAATACCATAAAAGATGTTCATTTCTAATTCGGTTTGTTACATTTTTTTTTGGTTGTTTTTTTTGTTTGTCACTGTTAATTTCTACATCAGTTTCCTCCAAAGTGTTTTTTTTTTTGGTCTCCAATGGGTTTCATACAAGTTTGATCCTAATATGATAACATATACGGTGTGCAACAAAGGGTCCCCATAGTCAGCTCGTTNAAAAAAATTTTTATAAAAAAATATAAATAAAAAAAAAAAAAAAAAAAAAAAAAAAAAAAAAATTTTAAAAAAAATTTAAAAAAAAAAAAAAAAAAAAAAAAAAAAAAAAACACAACTAAGGAACATTAACCAGAAACAACAAATAATTAGAGAGAGAAAAATACCTCTTCTAAACACCCGTGGCTGGCAGTCTTCGGTGAGAAAAAAAAATAATAAAGAGGAAGGAAAAATAACAACAAAATGTAAGAGTTTATGAAAACCACTTAAACACAAACAGATGGAATATATGAGAAATGAGTGCTGGGAAGCCTTATGTTACAATATACATATGCTCTGGATTTTATATTAAAACTTTTATCGAGTATTATTTTTAAAAAAAAATTTCCCCTCTCAAATGTGTTTATTATTGCCATGGTTTACAATACAGGCTTATTGGACCTTTTCTCCAATACCTCATTAATAATTCTGTTTAGACTTGAGATATTTGTTTTAAGTGTAACTCATGAGGATAAGCACCAAAAAATGACAGCTGAGAACATCTTGAGTGACAGGCTCAAGCAGTCTTGTGTCATTGCTACGACAAACTTTTTGGATAATAAAGATCCCTGTTGCAATGGACCTTCTATTTAATTGACATGTGCTTTGAAAACGCAATGAAAATACAATGTTCCCTCTAACGTGTTGTTTTTTTTACCATGTGTGCAGCATTTTTAACACATTTTTTGAACAAGGTAATGAAATTTATAAAAATGTACAACTGATTTAGCCACACAAAATAAATCATTCCTGTAAATTTCCATATACTAATCAAACCATTGCTAATTCAAACAGTTTTTTTTTTTTTTTCATGAAATGGCATTTAAATGTACAGTTCATTAAACAAAAATTTTTTTTTTTTTCTACAACTTTTAAAATTTTACTTATACAGTTAAGTAAATATAACATGACTTCTGACTAGTGATGAATGAATTTGAATATTTGTTTAAAACAATATTTGTCTGCATGCTCTAAATTTTAGTGTGTGCGCTTTCTTTTCTGTTTTGTGTGCGTGTGTGGAAATACAACTTAGAGGGAACATAAGTTGTATAAATAAATTATATAATTGTTCTGATTATAGATTATAGATGGTATGAGAATTCAATAGACAAGTCTCTGAAAGGAAGATGTGCTTTGTCATTGCAACTCTTGGTCACAGGCCTGGTTAGTGAAATATTTTATTTTAGTATTGAAAAAAGAACCATATCTAAATGATCATTCATCAAATCAAGAATATTCATGATGCAGCGTGTTTGCTGGTCATCCGTAGTAGATGGTTCAAAGATGGGGGGGGGGATGTAATGCTGGCTAAATAGAAATCTATCATTGTTATGAAAGACAGAACTAGAAAGAAAACATTGTTTTTTTTGTAATTAGGTTAAGTAGGATTGCTGGTCTTAAGTTCAAATGGGCTAAATAGTTGGTTTTTTTTCTATGATTAGTTGTTAGTGTATCGTAAGATACTCCAAGATACTGAAATGATAGAGTTTAGGTCATGACACTATGATGAAGAAGGAGCAGAAAGAACCCAACTGAAAGAGTCAGTTCTATTGTCATACACTATTATGGTGCCTTCACAAAATCTAGAATTTCTCTCAACATTCCTACAATGTATTTTTTCATAACACAAGACTTGTCTGAAAAGAGAATACACACATAATAATAATAATAAAAAAAAATAATAATAATAAAAGAGGGTTGGTGAACATTTGGTTTGCATGTCCCAAAAAAAAACAAAAAAAAACAAACAAAACAAAAATCAAGCTTATGTATGATGTTGCTATGGAAACCATAACATGACGTTGCCATGGTAATCCGCCAACTTACGACTTGCAGCTTTTCTAACAAAAAATGAACAAACGTCGATTTGGGCTGAAACACAATTTTGAAGATGATGTTTATGTATGATAAGGAAAGAAAGGGAGCTCCTGCAACAGCTATTGCACAACAAAGTCACTGATTACACCCCCCCCCCCCCACACCCCCCCGACACGGCACAAGACAAACAATGTCTATATCCCTGCCACTCCTTGGACTTTATGGGGTCTGCAGGGGTTCCTCATTGTTAGGATGAAATTTCATGTTTAGTTTAAAATGATTATTAACCCATATTAGCCATATGATTGTAAACCAGACATTAGCCATTGGTAACCCAAGTCAGTGTTGGCATTTACCATCTTTAAGGATTGAAATATAATATGCTTTCGCTTTAAAACACAATCCTCTTTATGAAAAAATGAACACATGTAAGTATAAATTACCCACTGTTATATTACGTTATATGGGTATGAAGGATATGTCTGGATGGTGAAAACAAAAAGAAAGCAACAACAAAATAAAAATAGCCATGATGATTTTGATGCGTATGTATTTGACGGTTTGAAATGTTGGTCGATTTTTTGGGGGGTTTAATGAGAATCAGTATAATAAAATTCTTATAAAACATTGCTCTCCAGTTAAGTCATGGCAATTTAAAATTACTTCTTAAGTTTATTGTGTTATTTCAATAGTGTAACAGCACAACACAAAAATAATAATGTTTAGATAGCTATACAGGGACAGGTTATATTAATGATTATGGGAATTCGAATTGGATACCCTGGAGTAAGGGATATTTTATTAGCAAGCATAAGGATGTTTATAGCTGTCTCTTAGAAGTTGTTTTGTTTGCCGATAATGACAAGGTGTGTACAGAAACTGACACGTTCAAGTTTTTTGTGAAACTAAAACCACAGTACACGGTTGACAAAACCTTGGATATGTCTAAATGCTAATGGTGGATCTCTCTATACACTTCATAGACCTCGAGTTATTCTGTTACATATTTGTAGGCCAAGCAGAGGTTCCTTAGGGGTAACAGCTTGAAATTAAGGCATGAAACACAGTACCATGAATGTCAAACATGCTCACAGAATGACTGAGATATACATGGCTATTAAAGTTAAAGGACAACTGATATATACAAAGCTATTAAAGGTAAAACTTAGAATATACATGGCGATTAAAGGACAACTTATATATACATAGTTTACATCACTGTATGCAGGATAAATGTTTTCCTTAATTAAAAAAAACAAAAAACTAATATTACTATTAAAAAAAAGTCTCACACAAAATCAATAATTATCCAGATAATAATGTGATGTGCAACAGAGAGTGTCTTTTTCAGCAAAGAATGTCTTGTTCAAAAGAGAATTTCGTCTATTAAAAATAAAGAATGAAATGTTCAAAAAGAGAAAGTCTTGTTTAACAGAGAAAATCTTGATCAACAGTGGATAAAATTTTCAACAAAGGAAGTGTTGTTCAACAGTGAATGAAATGTTCAAAGGAGAGAGTCTTGTACAACAGTGAATGAAACGTTCGAAGGAGAAAGTCTTGTTCAACAGTGAATGAAATGTTCAACAGAGTATGTTCCAACTACAAGAGTGAGAGTTTGAGTATAGACAGGTGGACAGCTTGTGTGTAAACAATGTGATACTTGAATCTCCTCCCAACCCAGAGCTAGAGTGAGGTCTGGCTGCTAGCTTACCTTTGATGGCTTCTGCCGACTGCACCAGTTCTGTCACTGCGTTGGCCACCTTACGGGATATCAAGGAGAGGCTCTGCTTGCCTTCTGGTGTGGGCTTCAAGACCACCTGCAAGGTAATTTCATGGGCAAGTCAGTTTCACAATAATACCTGCTGGTAAAGTAACGTAACAGAGATATAGATGGTAGCAGAGATTTAGATGGTAGCAGAGATATAGATGGAAAGATGGCAGGAAATTATATAGGAGAGTAATGATAAAATAGGGTAGTATTGATAAAATAGGGTAGTATTGATAAAATATGGGATTATATTGATTAATTAGGGGAATATTGGTTTAAAAGGGTAGTAGTGGTAAAATAGGGTAATATTGATACAATAGGGAGTATTGATAAAATAAGGGAGTGTTGATAAAATAGGGATGTGGTGTTAAGTATGGGGTGAAAAGTGGACATTTGGAAGTTAAAGTGAAAAGGGGGAGTAAAGATAAAAAGAGAAATGCTCAGAGAGTAAGAACATACCGAACGAGATAACAGAATTTACTTACGAATAGAACACTCTCTAAGAGCTCCTTGTATGACATGGCAGCTGTTCGGCCTGCATTGACAGCTCGGCGTTTGATCTCAGATGTCTCGGCTGTTGCAGCGGCTCCCTGGATGAGACATAAATCATTAGCATACTCATTGGCATGGCACCAGTGAACTGAGATGCAATCCTATCCACACACTGGGCACTGAATGCATGTGTTTTAAGACGTTTCTATGACAGCCAAGTTGTGACAATGACTTAACGTTATATTATATTTCAAACATACTAGATGTGAAAATATTTTAGGGCCAAGTTTTGGTTAACAAGCAAGATGAAGAACTCCTCATTATATCTTTTTGTCCTAAGAGCCAGCTCTGAGATATGATGTTTCATGACAGTTTTTATTTGACAGTCTAGTTTTTGAACAGGAATCCATCATTAATGATGTGATAGGCTTAAATTTTGTTTTGTTTCTATTCAGTTGTTCGTAAGAATCAAGACAATTTCAGTGACATAATTATGAAGGAATTTATCTGAGATGAAAAATACAGGGGTGTCAAACTGCAAAATCATTAAAGATAGAATGCCCATTCATTTTAAACTATGCTTAAAATAGATCAATTAGCAACAGCTCACCTTTACTACACCAAGTAAATCAAAGATGGCCTTGCGGCCCATGTTAGCAGTGCTGATGACATCTTCCTGTCTCCCAGAGTTTCCTGCAGCAACAGCTTTAGCGGTCGCTGTTGTAATGGGTTTGGCAAATCTGATCAGATCCTCAGCACTGGCTTTTTTGTGGACGTCATCTGAACAGTCAAAGGCCTGAAATCATAGACACAAGGCAGTGAGCATTGTAATATTATTCTATTCTGTTAGAGTGCACATAAATCTTCAATTTATTTATTTTATTTATTTAGGCATTTTTATATAGCGCTTACCTTACAGCTCTAAGCGCTTTACAATTATTAAAAACATGTAACCTATTTAAACTGCTAAAGTAAAATAAAAATGAAAAACCAGAGACACTAGAATAGTAACTACTATATTAAAAATGACTATAGAAACAATTCAGGCACTCCTCACTCAATGATCTTCCTGTTTTAATTTTGGTTTAAACTTGCAGGAAAACAATGTTCAGCATGGGAAATACCATTTTTTTAAAATCTCGTCAACTTTTTATCTCCCCTACTTTAAAAAAATTATTGAACCATCATGTTTAATAAATTATTTTTATACCTGTTGCTAATTCTATTATGAATTGGCTGAATGAATAAAAATCCTACTTTGGCATAATATTACTAAAAGTATGCCACGCCCTGTTCTAAAATAAACAAGAGATGCACGCCAAAGCCAAGTTATCAAGGCTAGAGTTCCTTCATATCTAAAGAGAGTTGTCAAGGCTAGAGTTCCATCATATCTATCATTTTTTCAGAACATCTAAAAAGCTTTCAGCTCTATACAAGTAAGTTTTGAGGGTAAAAATTTTACAATTAAATATAAATTCAGTCTTTTGAAGCTTTGTATTTTTCAGTTTTTGTTGTTGTATTCCTTAAGAGTGTACAGTGTGCAAACTAAATGAGAAGTTAAGTATATATATTTTTTATTGGTATGTTGTACCATGTTAGGTGTTACTTGAAACTGCAAACTTAATATGTTAATTTAAAATTTGGATTCTTGCATCATATTGTATCATATAGGCCCAAGAAAGTATTTTGATATGATAATTGTGTCATCTAGCTTATTCCTGAGTTATTAGTGATTTTTTTAAAAGTAATTGTTCTAGAGAGTAGCTTGCTGCTACTTGTGAATTCATTACCTTAATTTCCTGTCCAATGGCTTCAATGGTCGACTCCAAGGCCCTGGTGCCTCTGACAGCCTCATCTTCCACCGTCTTGACAGTCTTGAGTAAGGACGTGACATTGGTCACCATCACCTACAATTGAGCACATCGTTAAAACTATTAATTTTATTCCAATACCAGGAAGCTGATGTGTTACAACCATTGATTGGGCCTAGTGTTTGTATCAGTTCCTAGAAGCAGAAGCACACCAGACTGACGAATGAAACACAGCTTACCCTCTAACTAACTATGCAGCAGCACCACAACAAAAGACAATCGTCAACAAAACAGACAAGAAACAACACCCGACACGTAACACGTTTACTTACGCGTGGATCCAAGAACGACTCGACATCAGCAACTAGCAATGGCAAATAGAGCCATCTTATCTGATTAGTGGGTTCATAGTACATATTTCATAAGAAATATTTGAAGTGACCAAAAGTAGACCATGTTTAAAAGTATGCTTTTTTTTAAAAAAATGAGAAAACAGTAGCATGTACAGACTGTTTATTCATATAAAGAAATGAAGGCCGACAGTTTGAGTTAAATTGATATTTATTAATCACAAGCCATAATTGTAAGCTACCAGACAAAAATTATGATATAAATATTGAAATAAATAAACAGATAAAATGATGGGCCTCAGAGGGTCCTTCGTGAGGGGACTAATCAATGGAGACATAATTTAGCTACTGTCTGAGATGTATACAAAAATGATTGGCGATGAGGTATTCTATTTATAGCATATCATTCAAAGTAAGCACTGATAAAATGCTGCACTGATTCTGAAACTCTGGCCTTACCGGCAGAGAGAAACAGGCCTGGCGGATTAAGACATTAGAACGCCCTAAAAAAAAAAATTTAGGTGTCACCATCTACATTTCATAACCTAAGCCTTGATTATTAATATGTTATTTTTATTATTGTAAACGTAAATGTGTAGTTTTTTTCATTTTTAAGGGGGGCCACTTTTTGGTGGAAATTGGTTGAGCTGCACAATTTGCAGTTTTGCACCATATTGAAATTGAACAGGATCTACAATAAACCGTGCAATCCAACAATTAAAAATGTATTAGGTGCTCTCCTTTCTGTGAAGCCTTATGCATGTGCTTTATTTTTTTATAAGAAGTTTATTCTAGCTTTGGAGATCTGGTTGTCTCTAAGAAATCTTACTTTGATATAAAAGAACTTAAAAGACACAGAGCATAGTATCAACCATTCACAGACTGGAGAAAATTTTGCCTGAGTATTTTTGAAAAGTTTTTTTCTTATTGCTCTTCTTCTCTTCTTCTTCTAAATTTTGAGGGCCCACGATCAATTTATTGATCATTCTGGCTCCTATTTTTCAGAGGGGTTACTTCACTGTTTGCAAGGGCTACTCAGCGATTTGATTTAAACGAGAGACCAGATGACATCTCAATTTCAGCAGCGAATATTTGTGTCATGGTATATTGTAATAAGCATAAATACAGAATAGCAATTGTAATAGTAAATACTGATAGTTAAGATACAGGTTTTATGAATTACTTGTATACACCACTATGAAATGTCAAATGAACAGGCAGGATGTGATCACCGACTTAATGAGATAACACAACATATAGATGGCACCACACAATGGAGATCTCTAGGTTAAAAAGCTACTTGTATTATAATGTGTTCACAGTTTTGTCATATTCAAAAGACGCCAGGCCAGGCAGACTCCTTAGTTCCTGCACTCTGGTAGTCGTAGAACCCTTGCTGTTCTATACAAATGAAATCCTTTTTCCTTGGTGAAGTGAGAAGCACAAAACAATATTAGGACTTAACTGTTTCCCCCTACAACAAATGTCTACAGCATTTATGAATGTAATACAGAGACTCAGCTGTGCACAAGCTAAACTGAAAACTCTATCTTCTTCATTTATATTAACAAAAGCATCAACCATTTACAATAGAAATCTTAGAATTTTAATGACAGTTGTTTGAAGTCATATTTAAATGAATTTTTTTTTTAAAACTTACAACAACAAAAAAATCAATTTTATTATTTACACTACTTTGGAAAATTGTTTAGATGAATGTGACGACAAGGGGCAGAACTAATCTACTGCTCTAGCAATTAGTTGTTTTTTTTAAAAACATAATTTTTCTTCGAAAAATGTTGTCGAAAGTTGAAAACAAGGATGTGTCTGACTTAACGTCAGTTTGGGTAGACCCGATCAAATAGTTCACAAGCTAAAGTCGAATGGTCAGCCAAGTGTTAGTGATAATCCAAAGGCAAACTTGCTAGGTGCATGCTGGTATAGCGCATAAATACCGCACTTCTGTTGGATTCAGCTGCCGTCTCGCCTGAAAAGATGATTCCAGAACATAATGTTCATGCGTCAGTACACCTGGAGAATTGTCTAGGTGATTTTACAGATACATACATATGTTCTACTTTTTATCTAATTTTTGAGGCGTGGAGAGGGAGGTAATTAATTAATTTTTTTTTTCTCAATTTCTTATGGCCTTATTAATGATAAAAACTATTTAACATTATTTTATTATAATTTTTTTTTTTAAAGTTATCACAGTTTAGCTGTGGCGGTAGCCTAGTTATTAGTAATAATTACTGATAAAACAATGAGAATTTGTTGCACAGATTTAGTTAGTGTTAGTTGTTACCATGCATGCCAACCTCCTTAAGTCAAAACACTGATTTCCAAAGCCCTGCATGACATGCAAACCCTATGGAAAAACATTTAAATATATGAAAGGGATCTAGATCAGGGAGGTTTCATTGATTTATTTCCATTGATTATTAGTTGCCGTTGTATGATTTTTTGCAATTAATGCACATACAAAATAAATGGTGGTTGAAAAAACCTTTTATAAGCAAAATTGAAGTAAAATACTGTGTACACTTTTTAAAGTTCTTTTTTTTTTAAAAGAAGGGCCCACGAAAATATCTATTTATCTGCTTTTAATGAGTCATCAAAAAAATCTGGCCACAGACTTGTACACAGCAAGTTAAAAAAACAACATTTTTTTTAAAATTCATTATAAAGTAGGTATTGTGGCGTGTTTGGCTGATTCCATCAGCTGATTTTCACTCTGTGTACACCAGAACATGGGCATTAATAAAGCTAGAAATCATGTTGTTATCACAGACATGCAGGTGGCTTTACTTTCTATCCTCATTCAGTATCTTCATGTGATGTAATTGTCAATTTTATACTGTTGATGGCATTTTAAAACTAGGTCTTGAATTTCAAAACTTTTTTTTGTCAACATTTAAATTAAAATAACATGTCAGCAGACTCACCACAGGAATCCTGTCTCCATGTCACCACCATGGCATGAAGTAGCCGGTCAATCGGGGTAATATTTCTTAGACATTTTTTAAATGCCGTAAATGTCTATGATATACGGTAAGTGATCCATCAGAAAATTATATTATATGCCCTTCCTGTTGCTTAGGAACACCTGGTAAGTGGTCCATCAGAAAATTATAGTATTTGCCCTTCTGGTTGCTTAGGAACACCTGGTAAGTGATCCATCAGAAAATTATATTAAATGCCCTTCCTGTTGCTTTTTGTTTTTCATGGCTCTTCCACTGGTGGTATGCATAGAATAAAGTGATTTTTGTGAAGAAATCTATTACTGGAAACTACATAATTGTCAGATATAAAATGACTGAGAAACCTTTCCACACATGACATAAATGGTAGGGAAGGGAAAGAGAGAAATCCAATACAAATAAATAAAAGAAAATAATAATCTTGTATCTGTATAAGAGCTACCTATATGCCACCAGATGATGATGACTAGGAGACTACAGGGTCAAGGTCAAGGCCATCACACAAGTATATACAAGGTGACAAAAAAAAGCAACAGACATAAAATAAATAATGCAGCACCCCGCCCCCGCCCCCAAATGATAACAACAACAACAACAGTAAATGTGCTTGTGCTTCTAGTTGGTTGTGACACATCAAAGTAATTTATCCACAATATTCAGTTACTTCTCTTTAAATTGCCAGAATTTTATGACTTAAGTAAGCTCAGTCACCATTGAAAATCTATTTGGTCTAGGTGGTTATACGATCAATTAGGATTACTTAAGGGTAACAGAACATAATTAAATGCACATGATAAGATGCCAGGTTGTAATAAATGACGTTAAAAAATTATTGTCTTTTTTTTTTCTTTTTTGTCACAAGTAGATAGTTACTGCCCCGAGACAACATAAATATACAAAATATACAAAAAGTTGTATAAATGTAATCATTCACTGCAATCATTTTGTTTCCTTTGATGTGCACAAACTCTCTACTACAAAATTCTCAAGAAGAAAAACAACACTGTCAAGGTTTGCTGACATAGTTAGGTGGGGTTAGAGCTTCATGCTTTTAAACTGTTTTTCTTTATTTCTATTTAAGCAATAATAATTTATAAGTGTAAATTGATTTATCATTTTCTTATGAATAAAATTTATTTTCAACATTTCTGTGAATAGTTTAATTAATTTTCAATATCTGCTATATTTTATTGATGAAAACAAGGGAAAGAGAAACAGTATGACAAATATAAATCCTGCCCAAAAATAGCCTGAAGTATCCTATTAAGTTTCCTACAAAACTCCAGCAGTCTAGCAATTACATAAAGCCTATTGCCATGTGCATTTAACTATATTCACTAAATAATTATAACTTCAAGAGTTTGCATTTTTCAAGAAAGTCACTCAAAATAGGATGTGCCTAATTAAATATACTTTACGAATGATTATTTCATTTTTTTTTTTTTGGTTGTAAATTTCATTTACGCAACAATGGCTGGAGTTCTCGGAATAAATACAGATTAGTTCACTCAGGAAACATCAGGCCACGTAAATCCTGATTTTTAATTAAAAAATTTAATGTCCAATAATAAATCACTTGTTTGATGTGAAAAATGCAAAGCTCCTAGAGCTAAATAAAGGAATGAAAACAGTAAGTAGAAAATGGTGGTGAGAAACTGTTGATGTTTTTTGATGATTTATACCAAATTACACTGTCGTGCTGATGTAGAAATTTGCATTTATTGTAAAGTCCCAGTGGGAAATAATAATTTATTTGTAAAAAACTGAAAGTCAAAATTAAATGTCGATGTATGATTTCTTTACTACTTTCATGATTATAAAAATTTCTTGAATGTCAGATAAAATTTTTTCTAAAGTGAGCGTTTTTTTTTGTGACAGTAGAAACAGAATGATGAGAGCATTCAAGACTTACCTTGGCCGAGTCTTTCAGTGCTAGCATGGCAGGGTCGTTGACACTCTTGCCTGAGGCGTTCTTGGTGGCACTGATAAGATCTGACAATGCGGAGGCCACATCTTTGACAGCGTTGATCAGCAGAACCTGTTCGTGACACAGGTGGGGTGATGGACAGAAAGGAAATTGGTTAACAAAAGACATGCGGGGTAATCACCTAAGGTAAGAATACATGTTCAGCACACAACACTACCCTTCGAAACTGTAAAGATTACAGATTTTTTTTCTTCTTTCTAAACAGGTTGAATGGTAACAGTAAAAAGAGGAAAAGTAAACAACAGCGGGGACAGCTGGTGAGTTTTTTTAATTCAGTCACTACAGAAACTTTTAGTTCAGTTGTGTAAACACCCTTTTTAATAGTTTAGGTAATTCGCATTATCTGTACATAACTCTGTAATGTACTAAAAATAGCTAAATTATATGATCCATATGCACATTTCATTTCCTTTAGTTCAAATCTCTATTTCTAGAAACAACGTTAATTCCATCAGTTGGGCCAAACAGCCCACACCACCACGCTCAAAATAACAACTACTCAACCTAACAATTAACAAAAGATGAAGAAAACTATCAAAACAAAATGCAAGAAAAATGGAGACCAAAAAAAAAAGTAGAGATAAAAAAAAAGATACCAAAACTCTAAAGGCGGCATATCCCTACTCACGTAAAATTCACACAGTATATATGAAACTCAAACAATAAAATACCAATGCATAACTTTAAGGTGAAGAGGGAAGTTAAAACTAAAGAAACAAAAATTATAATCCCTTTAGATAAAAAGTAATTATTTAGATGTCTTAAATGGTTGATGCTTTTTTTTTATTTGTTTATTTTACTATACAAAACAAATTGCAGAACTTTTTATAGCCACCATTATTTAATTTGCCTAAATAGTTTTTTTTTGTTTTTTTTTACATGTTAGATACAGTATCTCTCAATAATGCATAAAAGTCTATGTAAATTTATATTTAATTCTTTTCTTACTTCTTGTAAACTTGTAGTTATTTCACAACGATTAGCCATTAGTAAAGCCCAACAACTAATATTCTTTTCTTATTATTTTGTAAAATGTCTGATGTCAGATAATTTTCTGTTTAACTTAACATATCTATGGAAATGTGCACACTATGATGGAGACACTTACCTGGGCCTCTGGCTGTTCAGATCCAAGAGATGCTGCGCCAAGTTTGACCACGTCGGCCAATCGAGTGATTGTTTTCACAGCGCACTGGGCAGCTGCTGCGAGCTGCTCCTGATTGGATGCAGCACCAGCAACAAGAGTTTTGGTGTCCTCCACCAGGGCTTTGGCCGTCTTGAGAATATTCTCCCTAGAATAAGATACAAAATGTAATTATGTGATGAACAAGAAACTACTTATGACTACGACAACAGAATAGTGACTGTTTTGATAATAATTCTCGGTAGAGTTATTTACAAGTTAAGTTATTTTAAGTCTGCATTATAAACTATATATATTGCTAATAAATGCTTAAAAAAAACTATACTGCAAGTCCCACATGCACCTGGAAAGCTTCCCCGCATGTGGGACACATTGTTTTGGGTCCTTGTAGAATTTGAATTGACTTTGCTTTTTTCTTGCCATGTGCTTTCTTTGGGCGTGAGCGGTGTGCTTATACTCTGAGGATTTTGCTCCAAAAGTGAGCCGGCCATGCCAGCTTGCATAATCCATGGTAAAAGACTTGAACTTGTTACGATTCATAATGTAATATTTGCCTATGCTCTTAATTTTTTTACATCAAGTCTATTATATTTAAAGAAACTATTGGAACTTATATAAAATAAAAAGTTAACTGACCTCTGGTCAGCAAATGACTCTGAACCTTCATCATTGAGAGTTCCAGCCGAGGCAAACATGATGGTGGTGTCCAGGTCTCCTATAATACCGCTCACTGTACTGGCGGCATTGATACAGGCCTGAGTTCCACGGGCACCTGCTTGTAAGGCCGCAAGTACATAGGCTACCTGGTGAAACAAAAAGACATATTATAGTTATAGTAATTCATCGAGGCATGAAAAAATATCATCTAAAACATAAAAATGGATGCAAGATTCAATGTTTAAGATAGCAACACCATGTCAAATCTGCACACACTAATTAACATCAGCAAGATAGAACTAGGTATTTGATATATGGCACTTGGGGGTGATTGTGGGGGTGGCACTTGGGGTGGCAGTGGCACTTGGTGGTGGAGGTGGCCCTTGGGGGTTGGCACATGGGGGTGGGGTTGGCAAACCCTGAATAAATAAAAAAAACTCAACCAACATAAAAGAGAAATAGCACCCAACTTGGCATGAGATGAGGACTTGGCTGTCAAACATCATGCTTACAAAAATTAAATAACAACTAGGTCACCGTTCATTCAAACCCTACAAGCATCCACTTACTTTTTCTTGCACACTCTTTGCATGGTCACTGAGTTCCTTCTGTGTGTACTGATCTGTTGGGTTACCCTGGAGATTGCCGGCATCTTGTACCAACTCAACACAGGATTTTCCCAGGTCTTGGACGGTTGACCTGATTCTGTTACCAATCTGTTCACATACGGGACAATTTATTTTATAATTTACATGCACTCTGAAGTATTTGAAAAGTAATTCACCATAGGGTGATCACTTAAAAAATCAGTGCTTCTCAAAGTGATGGATTACACATGGCAACTCAATGGTCTATGAGCTCTGAGATGCAAATCCACCAAAGGAGACAAATAAAATAAAATAAAATAAAAAAAATATTAAAATAATAAATTAACAGGGAAATGCTTTCAACTGATTCTATGGACACAACTTCTTGCTGGTTTATCACACTCGAAGTTTTAGAAGCCACAAATTTATAGTGCACATCAGTTTCATAGGCGTTTTTGTGTTTTCTTTATCTTACATTAAAAAAAAAATAAAGTAATTAAAGAGGCTTTTCTTTGTTGTGCTAGCCAAATAAACAAAGTGCAGTCTTACCTCTAAGTTGTTGGCAGCTTGTGTAGCACCTAAAGAAGCACTGGCCAGGGCTGCATAGTCTCTGGTCAGTTGGTTAGCCAGCACACCCAGCTGGCCGACATTGGTTGTTGATTTACCAATCTGTTGGACGAATAGGTTAGTTGTTATTAATTTCGTTCAGCTGTTCAACTTGACCTTATCAAAGGCCCTATCAACATGAAACCTTTGGTATTAACAGTTACAATAGAACGAAATATATGATTTATGTTTAGACAATGATAGGATCTCTGCTTGCACAAAATTTCCTTTACATTTTTCAAAAATTAAAATATCTATATTTTTTTTTATAATGTATTGGTCATTTATGGATTCCCCAAAATTATAAAGATTAAAAGGACTTGCAAGACTAAGCAGTGTATTAAATTCAGCTTTTTTACATTTTGGAGGGAAGTTGATTAAAAATAACTCTGTACAAGTTGAAACAAATAAACAAATAGACAACACTATAGAACTAATAGACAACATTCATGAAAAAATAAGACAACATTCCCACAAAATTAAACAAAAAGGTTTTAAAAAAAAAAATTTTTTTCAACTTTTAACAGATATCACTTCAAAATTTACAACATAAAAAAAATAAATAAATCTTTTTTTATTTCAATGATATAAGTATAAACATTTATAATTAGGACAAATCTTTGTCTTGAATTGTCTTGAAATAATTGTCCTACCATATCTTGGGCTGTCCTTGCTATCTGTTTTGCCAGTCTGACCATGTTAGTTTGGTGGTCGACAAAGGAAAGGTTTTCTATGATGGACATTCTGTCAATCTGGCGTTCATCCGTCTGGAATAACAGAAATGTGAAGAAAGAGCTTAAAAAAGTTATTTCAGGTGACTAGATACTAAAAGATATGCTTAAAGTGCAAAATCTTTGTAGTTCCCTCTTTTTTACTGAACAATTTTAATTGTGTCATAATGCTAGTTTCATTATGTGATGATTGTATTCATGATAAGATTGGTTTCTATGGAGGGAATGGTCCTGAACTGCAATAAGTTAATTAAAGATTGGGGTTTAGCACATCTGTTTTATTAATTAAAAGCCTTGTCAAAGAGTTGATGCAGCTTCTTCAATGAATCTACTTGTGGCTGTTATTAGTTTGTCAGAACGTCACAACCCCAGCATAAAAATCTTCAACAGAACACAGGTCTAGCATAAAAATCTTCAACAGAACACAGGTCTAGTTTCACTGTAGAGGTTTCATTGTGATCTCTCTTTGTGCAAGTAAGACTCGGGTAGTTCCATGTCGACTGTGTGACTGAAGAGAAATAAGATTAAGGGACCCAGCAGGTTAAACTATCCTTGCTATTGCTCCTACCCTGGCAATGGATTTAGTAATGGTGTCGATCATGCTGTTGACAACTCCAGACTGTGAGGCAGCTTCCTCCATGGTCTGCAGCAAGTCCTGCAGGACGTCCTTCATATCATCTGCAGCACTGTCGATGGGACCGTGAGTGTGGATGGCCTATTGAAAGACAATTATGATTGCAGTTATTTTTATTCAGTAGAAAGGCTCAAAGGCAGACCTAGGCTTAGATGGATGGATGATGTGGAACAAGATCTACAGCAATTGGGAATCCAAACATGGAAAAGAAAAGCATTAGCTAGGTCTCAATGGAAGGAAGTGGTGAGGGTGGCCAAAGTCCTCCATGGGCTGAAGCGCCACAGGGATGGATAGAAGTATTACACCAAATCAGAGGTGTGCAAACTTTGTGCAGTGAGAGGTTACAAAATTTTTCATAAATAATTTGCTATTTTGTACAATTGTTAAAATTGCACACAGACATTTGGGACAATTACCTTTACAATATGAGCAATAATAAAACTTTGGACTCACTTTAGGATTCCCTCCCCCTTCTTTACAGGCATACATAAACTGTAAGGCCGACTCTGCAACAGTTTTAGTCAGGTCAAGAATGTTCATCTGTTGTTTGGAGTTGACTGTCTTGCTGGCACTGCCGATGGCAGATCTTGTAAGAGGTTCAAAGTAGGAAGAAACTGTTGATATCTGGTGATTAGAAAAGTTGCAGAAAGAAAACTGAGGAGCGATATTCCAGAAATTCAAACACGCACATATCTCAAATATATTAATCAGAGATTATAAAATACGCGGTACTAAGACCTACAAGTCACTCAAGTTGAAATTCTCACCAAATGTCCCAAGTTCTGAGGCTCCTCTTTGGCAGCCTGTCTGATTAGATCTACTCGGTCTAATATTTCTCTGGCGCTGTTGATCATTTGTTCTTGGTATGCCTAAGAGAAGAGAAAACATATCTCTGAATAATGCATTCTAATAGCACAATCATAATGCACTCTAATAGCACAACTCTATTAGCACAATCAACCCTCATACATTCCACTAAAAGGTTTTAGAAAAAAATATTTTAAAAATAGAAAAAAACATCCTGACCATTATGGGAGATGTATTTTTCAGGCTTCAATATGTAAACATCATACACGAATGCATATGTAATTACCGTGGTGGGTCGCCTTACCTTCAAAGACTTTTCATCTCGAGGCTTGAGGTTCTGGCTAATGGCGGCCAGTGATGCTTGGTCCAGGTCTCGGATGGTCAAGTTCAGGTGTTCAATGGCGTTGTCACACTCATGTTGGCCAGGGGCCATGTCCCTATGCAGCAAAAAAAAAAAAGTTGCACTTTAAGCATGTTTTAACCCTTGAAGTTAAGGAGGAGCAAGACTTGAAAGAAATATGTGATCTAGCAATGCAACAGACAAATTGACACTAATGTACAATAAGGCTTTGTATGAGGACAATGAGATTAAACAAACATTTTATCAGGATTTATGTCTAAACAACCATTAGTTCTCCATGTTTTGGTCATATCCTTAGTGATGGTGAGCTTAAGCACAAAAAGTTCACTTTAATCTTTGACATAAAAAAAAAATTGTCATTTATTATAGCATTTGAACTTTTTTTAAATTATTGAAACTATGACTAGCACAGTAAGGATAATGTTTCCATCAAATGCAGGAACCAGAAAAGACACATTTATATATTTAGTGGCCATGTCAAGGAATTCCAGGGTTTGAAATAAATCAGTAAAGAAATATGACAGTAAGGAGGACAAAATCCACTTACTTGATGGATGACACCAGTCTCTTGATGGCCTCCGATACACTCTTGGAGTGGAAAGAGTAAATCTGATAGGTTTGAGGGTCCTTGGGGTTGACTGCCAGCTGCTTGGCTGCCTGCAACATATTGCATGCTCCCTCTATCATGGCCTTGCCAGATTGGGTGATGGGCTCTTGTGCCTGGCGAGCCTGCAAGGGGATACAATAGTCGTGGCTGGATGACAGACATTTTACTGAATTTACAATGTTCATTTTGGTGAGGCACCGTATAAATGCTTCACTCTGCTAGGAATATATGTGTTTACATGAATCATATCAAATGGTTCCATTAGAATGACCATTGAAAAGAAAAAAAAAGCCAATGTGATGTATTTTAATTTTAAAAAAACAAATATCTGTTTATAGCATAAAGCATCCATCAAAGAGATATCAGAAGTCTCTTCCAGGGATGGTGTCTTAACAAGAAGTGTAGAATCAAGTTCATTCAGAAGAAAGATCATTTGAATAATATTTCAAGAGAGGCAAGGCATTTCTCTAGATCCAGTTAACAAGATGCATTGTTTTCAATGACAAACATTTTGTAAGATGATAGGATTGAATGAGTGCCTTCCTTGCTCCCCTCCAATATCAAGCCAAGATGCCTTACCTGGGCACTGATTTTGGCAGGTTTACTGGCAAACTCTGGGGACGAGGCAAACGTCGTCAGTTCATCAACCGCGTTGATCAGTGGTCGTGCAGCCTCGGCACATTTCTGTCTGTTTTCTTCTGTGAAATCACTGTCTAGAGCCTGCAGACATTTCATCAATGTTATCACTTAATTGTACAAGAAAACCTTTAGTAAAATCTTTAGTAAATTAATAATGTATGAATAAATTACCATGAAAATTTATGGTCAACTTTTTTCTGCTTTTTGTTTGCAGCTGAATATTAAATCAGCAAGTAATCATTTACTTCTGACTTTTCTTGACTTGAATAAGAAATATTTCCTAAATATGGCACCAGATATCAGCTATGCAGCTGAAGAAATAGTGACAAGATGAGGAGCTGTGGCTCATTATTTTCTTGGATTTATAGCCAATGAGCACACACAAAAATAATGTTTGTATTAGCAACACTTTTAGAGTGGATTTCTGATGATATCAAATCAATGTTGTTAACAAGACCATGACCCTCTTGCATAAATTGTTAAAAAAATTAACAAAATCCTCTAACACAAATAGTTAAATGATCAATTGATTTTCTTTCTTGATTTCATCCATCAGTTTAATATCCCTTGAATGTAGAGACTTACTCTACAACACTGTCTATACCAGTGGTTCTGAAACCCCATCTCCCCACCCCCTCATTCCCTTTAGCCCCACTGTGAAGCCAAGTATTACCCTTGTCAATGGTAGCTTTTGAAAAAAAAATGTAATCATCTCTGTAAAAGCTTTTGACACTATGAAGTTGTTATACAGTACTGACCAGGAGACAAGGCGCACCACCCGCTGCTTTACTAGCTGGGTTATAAAAAACAAATAGCTCGGCCCGTCAGAAATTTGTACGAATGCATGTACCATGGATACTTGGTTCAGAATAACAGGTTTTCAGTTGAATACAACTTAATTTTTTTTTTAACCTTAACTCTTTACGGCGCAGAGCGGCCGAAAACGTCTTTACCATTTAAAGGGCAAAACGCCCAAAAGCGTCAGTGACGACATAAGAGTTGTTTTCTCGTGACCTCCGAGGCATTGCGAGACTTCCTATTGTTTACATACAGTTTTCTGATAGCTAAATAGAGTAGGCGCCAGTTACAAGTATTTAATAGATTTTTTTTTGTAGTTTTAGGGGTTTAAAAAAAAAATTTTCGAAATGGATTTTCCGATTATTTGCCTATTATTCAAGTTATTGCGGAGATTACTATGGATTCAATTTAAGTGACATTTAAGTACACGAATTGACTGTAAATTGGAACTAGATATTATTATTATTAGTAATATTAGTGAAATCAGCCTAGTAAGCAGTGTTGAATTTTAAAAACTTCGATTTTGTGGCAGTGTTTGTCAATAGTAAATAGATGACTCACAATCACAAACAATATGTTGTTTTTTGCAAATATTTGTGTTCATATGAGGATTAATGGCAACATGTGAGTTCAATAATAAATCTGCATTCATTTTCCTTTATTTTGCTTTATATTTCACACAAATTTGTTGACTAACACCTTAGATTTTATTTTTTTGGTAACATAGCCCTAAATCTTACTAAAAAATGGAAAAGTGGTGCCCCTTCAGGACATGCAAGAGGAAGTACCTCTGCCCCGTAAAGGGTTAAAAGGAAGTCTCCAAGATGCTATTTTATTTTTACACTTTATAACATCAACAGCCAATATTTGATTCATTATTCCAGGTGCACCGACCTTGATGGCTTTGACCAAACTAGCTGTACTGTTGGCAACATCTTTTGCACTCTGCACAAAGTGCCTTTTGGCAACAGGGTTGGCGGTTTTCGAAGATGCCAGTCTACAAGAGTTACAAAGAGATGAAGTGTGTTTGGCGACAACTGTGGCTGCAGACAGGACCTGTGGACACAAGGACAGTGTAACAGTTAAAAAGGTTGGCCGGACAAATGGAGAAATGTTGAGAGGACTTCAGAAGATGGGATAAGGGAGAGCATGCCACTGTGACAAGTGTAAATCAAGATTTACTTTTTTCAAACGTGAGATGTCAAACATTCTATGACTGAAAATTGGGTGTTAAAATATTCCTGTTACAGAAGCCGATCTGAGAAATGGCCAAATTAAAATGAAACTACGATGAAATAAGTTTAGTCAGAATGAGACAAATCAGTGTTAGGTCAAACATAAGAACTAAGAGTTGAAATGGACAAAGTCACTTAACCCTGGCATTGACACAATAAAATATTCCTTGACATGAAATTTTTTTTAAAGAGTTCACCTGGCTTGTTTTGTTTATTTTGAAATTAAATTTTTACATTACAACATTTGGGCATAGAAAAACATTTAGCATGTAACAAAATATACCAAAAAAATACAGTGGTTCTCAAGTAAGCGTCTCATTGAATTTGTATTTCTTAAACTATTTTCTTAAACTATTTTCTTTCCTTCAAAAACAATATAAATTATTTCAATTCAAGTTTAGGCACAAAATAAAGCATTTTTAAAACCAGAACCATAATTCAAAGTAAGCCATTATGGATTTTGATATTGGTCAAAGGTAACAAATGATGACAAAGAAAACCCAACACAAACTGAGTGTAAAAAAAAAAAAAGAGGAATTTAACCTTTTTAAAAAAAAAATAATTTAGGGAGCAAAAGATTCTTTTTTTTTTTAAACAAAATAAAGCATTTTTAAAAACAGAACAATAATTCAAAGTAAGCCATTATGGATTTTGATATTGGTCAAAGGTAACAAATGAAGACAAAGAAAACCCAAAACAAACTGAGTGTAAAAAAAAAAAAAGAGGAATTTAACCTTTTTAAAAAAAAAGTGATTTTGGGTGCAAAAGTTTCTTTTTTTTTTTAATATGTTCATGAAAGATCAAATTTAATTTAACTTGATCTTAAAATAAAAGGTGATAATTCATGGAGCACTGTGACTGAAAGAAAAACAAAGAATTGAGAACCACTAATCAAATCATAATGTTGGCCTTCATAACAAAGTTCATGCAAATCATTTTTCAAACATGAGTCTTGCTGAGATCAGTGCCCACTCTTTTCTATCATTTTTAGGTAGGATACATGTATAAATATATATATTATGTAAATTTAATTTATACTTATATAATTGGTTTTTTTGTTGCTATTTTTTTAACTGATGAAGGCATTTGCTAAAACGTTCACATTTGTATTCTGTATAATCATAATTAAAGCTGGGCTTATATTATTTTATTGACACATATTGTTTGCGTCTGATTAAATCATTTCCCCCCAGTTTTAAGGAGCACCCTGGCCATTATTGCAGACTTTGATGTAAAGACTTTGACAAAAGATTTTTAAAGGGGTGAATCAAAGTAATCAGATGATAGAAAAAATAAAATATCCCCCCCCCCCCTCCCCGTCAGAGATGGAGGATTTTTCAAACAAACTGAAACAAGGAACAATGGAAGATAATCTTACTTTGTACTTATGTTCATCAAAAGTCTGAGTAAAATTGTAAGGTTTAAATTGCATGCTTTGCTCTGTTAATGTGGTCAAAACAAAACAAAACACAAGACATTTTAGAACTGCAATGCAATAAAAAAAAAATGTCCACATTTATTGATGACATATTATGTAAACTATAAGAATCATTCAAAGACCAACCCTGACTGCATATATCCTACTCTGATACTGATTCTATCAAGTTGATGCAGTGACAGTTTGAAAGAAAATAGCATAAGGCCAACTAAAGACTGATACTAACTTGAATTATACATCAGTGAGCATACACTGGCTTAAAATACAAGCTTTATATAATAGTGTGTGAAAATATTATATATTTTTTTATTATCATGTTTTAAAATAAAATATTTACATGGTAAACAATATAAAGAGTAATATTGTATCAAGAATTTTTTTTAAAAAATTTGAATTTTGCTTCTATTTGCTTGTAAGTACTGGTCAAGAAAAGACCATGCTCTATGGATTTTAAAGCACTGCAGTTTCAGATTGGGTTACTCATAACATAACAGACAATGTTTGTTTTGTGCAACAGTGTTACCGACATGCACAGACTTCTGACACAACTCAAGACAAGAACACGGTTTGTTAGTCATGCCGCAGGGTCACTGTCTTCCTGACACTGTCTGATTCAATGGGACAAACAGGAGGTGGTTTAACCAATCCAAGAAGACTTAACCCATGGGCCGTCCTAAGTAGCATTTGGAATGTGTCTGACTTCAACTCTGTCTTTCATATTTATTAGAACTCTATGTGAATGTAAGTCTGGACCTAACAAGTGCAATATTATATCATTGTCTCATTTTTACGTAATATATAAAGTTTTGTTATTTTCAAGAAGTGGCAGTATCAAAAATGAAATGTTAAATAAATCCCAAATCCAATTATGTGCATTTGCATCAAAATAAAAGGTAGATGTAAAACTTGATTATATTTATTGTGATTTAGAAATGTTACATATTTATTTTATTTGTTTAATTTGGAATAATTGCCTTCTTCAGTAACTTTGTCAATATCTCCTGCAGACAAACAAAATTTGGAAGGAAATGAAAATGACATGAAACGAAAAGAAAGAAAATATTGGAAAATTGAGGGAGAAAAAAAAAACTTACTTGATAACAGATCTGAAAGAAGGAATTTTTTCAATGGTAGAAGGAAAATGAGGGCTGATAAAAGCAAACATGTGTAAACTTAAATTCTCTGCACACTCAAAACTATGGCAAGACTACGAGATCACATGACTCATGGGAACTATATCATGGTCCTTGGCTAATGCTATCATTTTAATGTAAAAAAAAAAATCATTGTTAAAGTGCTAACACATCTCAGATGGTAAGAAGTTATAATAATAATACAACATAAAGCTACAAGCCAGGCCACAGAAATTTATTATATAAAAATATTTTATTTAAAACTATTCCGTCAGTCACTTAATGGCTATAAGGTGAACATCTATAATTTCTAAAAACCAATTTAATCAAATATTTAGTTGGTTACAGTTAAGATATAAATTTTACTAAATAATCAAAATTTACTTTTAAAAAAAAAAAAAAAAGAAATTAAATTTTTTTTTTTATTTAAATATTTTTTTAACATTTTTTTTCTTCAAATTTTTCCACATCCATTAAATTTTTAATTCTAATTTTAATTTTAAACAAACAAAAACATTCATTAAAAAGTTGTTATGTAAGTGAATAAGTAAAACACCAAGTGACATGTTTTCTCAGTTCAATGAAATGTGTGATAACATTTGAGACTAGACAACTGTTAACATAGATATCTTTTTAAAAAAAATACAGCTTAGGCATTTCTACAGAAGAATATTTCACTTTAAAAAAAAAAAAAAAAGTTATTTCTTTAATTGATGTTACTTTGTTTTAAAATAAAAAAAAATTTCTATTGCAAAGAAAATCCCTCTTATCTGTTAATGAGATTCTTTTAACAGTTTTTTGGTCATCACTATTTAAATTTGTGTATATTAATTTTTAGGCGTCCACCCAAAAAAAAATCAGAAACAATATGAAGCAGACTTTTGAGGTAATTTTTCCTTTTTTAGCCTCACCTCTAACCACAGGGGCATTACAGGAAAATATTTGGGCGTAAAGTAAACAAATCTTAACTTTGGATATTATTTCTGTAGAAATTGCCACAAAAAAAAAAAAAAACCCAAGTAAAGGAAAGAGCTGAAGATATGAACGTGTTTACAGCATGGGACATTGAGTCTAAGCTTTCTTTTGAAAACATGTTTGGTGGCTGGCTTACCATAGAACGCAAATTCCATGACGCATAATACTTGTTGGCAGAGAGATGGAGAGAAAGTATTAAAAAAACTTACAGTCCACACAGATATAGGTTTATAGTATTGTCTTTGGTCACGATGGGTATCCTCCACTATTTTTATATAGTTAAGCTCCAATATTTTAGAGATAATATTGAGTTACATATGAAATTACTGAATGCTACAATAACCGGGTTAATATATTTGTTATTTATTACAAGTTTGAATTTAACAGGTAGCACTATGATTTTTAGTATAATATAATGAAGGTCAATGTGAATATTCATTCATGTGAATGATACATAGAGTGGATGAAACGCCAGCCTACATAAACAGAGGGAATAATTATACCTGCATTTTAAAAAAAATATTTACTTTTGACTAAATCATTGATAATACCAGCCCAATTTCAATATAGTATCACTCTTTGGGATGTTCAAATGAACATCATCTTATCTTATATGAAACTGAACTAGAATGAAGGAAAAACATCTCTCCATCTATATGCAGACAAAAACTGTTCAAAAATTATTTTGTTTATTATTTATATATTTTTAAATTAAAATTACAGTGGTGGCTGTGACGATGCTGTATTTTATCACTGTATCTATGATGTAAGATGTCACTGTGTTAGGTGTTAATGACAAAATAGTGAAACTAACTTTTTACTAGTTTACCACTGGATGTAGTTATTCATGACAGAATACAGTAGTTATAGTGACAAAAAGTAGCATTGCTATGAGAAAAGCTTGTCAAATAGTTAGGGTTAAATTGAAGTTACTCTCTTTGATATTAAACTTAGTCAACAAAGTATGTCCTCATTTTCACTAATAAACAGAAGAAAAAGACATGAACATGAAGTCAAGATTTAGCCCCCTTCCTATTCAACAAGAAAAAGCATGAAATAGTTTTTGAAACAACCCACTTTTTCCAATAATTAAAATTTGACATTTTTCTTCACACTGACGCATTATCATTATGTCTTTTAATTTTAAGAAATGGCCTTTCTTTTTTTTTTCCCTTTGATTTGTGAAAATTTATTTCATTTATGATTAGATAAAAGGAAAACATTGGATCCAACTAATTTACATAGATGAAAAAGAAACCTTGAGGCTAGGCTCTGATGGAAGCATCCCGAAACTAGAAATATAAATAGCTAAGTGCTATGCCCAAACCCAAAATGTATACAGCCAGCACTCTTATGAAGTTATTGGAAAGTCATTTAGGCGTGAACATGAAGAGATGAAGACAAGGACATATTTTGATATAGTACAATAATAATTTCTCTGTGGTTAGATGTATGAGAAGAATAGGATATGCCAATGTAGAAAGTGTTATGTAATAGCGTGGAGCGACCTACCTGAGCTTGTGTGTTGTTACCCTAAATAATGAGGGGTAGGGTTATAAGGTGTGGGGTGGCTCAATCATCAATCTTACATATATTTTCAAATGACCCCCATGTTAAGTATTTAACATAGAGAACAATTAAAAACTACAATAGACATGGAAACCTTAATGTAACAACTAAAACACTCAGAAAGGCACTACTTAAAATAAGTTTTTAAAAAGAAAACTGAAATTAACATTTTTTTTTTTAAACATGCTTTTGAATATAAAGCACACAAAAAAAATAATAATAATTCTTTAAAGTTTAAACAAATAAACTTAAAAAATAGTTGATATTATTTTATACCAGCAAGCTTTTAATGCATTCACTACTGCATTTCACTGTTCACACACACCCACACACAAATGCAAACAAATATCAACGTGTTTTCTAGATAACCTCTGCCCCAATCTTAAAATCACATTAGAGTTTAAATAAGACATTGTATTGAGAGAATCCAGAGTGAAACTCTTGAAAGAATCAACTCATGTTAAATCCACCAATACTACCAACATTGCTTGCAGATAAATGATTTTTTTTTTATTTATGAAAAAAAATAAAATAATGGTTCTAACAAAAAAAATGGAAAGAAAATAATGAAATTCTAGAATTTTGAAATAAGTTTAGTAGAGGTATTTGTGTGAGTCTCTGCATCACTGGAGAAATTTTGAAAATTTATCTGATGTATCAAATGACTTGCAATATTAAGAGTAAAAAAATAGGAGTGCCTTCAAATTTGATTGCTAGCATTTTGTGCACATTGTTCAACAGTGCAAAGATGGGAAAGCTACAAAAATGTTCCGATAGATTTTGTAGGGATGATATTCCAAATATTTCAGATTTTTGTTAAGACTTCCTGAATGAGAACAATGAAGCATAGCGATAACAGAGGTATTTCTAAACTGGGACTGAAGGATTGGGGTAGTGGGGATATAGGGCATCGTATTATGATTAAACAGCTGCTGTCAAGACAACTTACCTGTTGCTGAGAACTGGCCGGGTTGGTCAGGTTCTGGCAGGCCATCTGAATTGCCTGATTGGCACGAGCAAACTGGGTTTGGTCAACCACTCCGGGACGACCAGGTTCCGAGGCGGGGTCAGAGATGCCAACCAAATAGGCAGCCTGGAAATAATTTATTTAATTTAACCACTGCTGAATCTATTGTTGCATCAGTTACTACACTTGTGTTCATTCCATGAAATGGTAGAGCTTTTATTATTGAATCCATATGGGCCGGGAGCCTCCTAATTCCTAAAACCTACCTGGACAGAGGCTTCTGTAAGGCCACACACAGAATTGGCAAAGTTCCGGACAGAGCCACAGAACTCATCCATGTCTTGTTTCTTGGCTTGATTTGAAATTCCTGTCATGGCATCTCCAAGGTCCTGCAGATGCACAGTAAGTACCAATCAATGGCTAACATTTGACCATCTTTTAAATATAAAAATGCCATGACAAAATGTGTGGCATTCACTCCTGTAGAGGTGTCTACAAGGGGATAATAATTCTAAATTTCAAAAATGTGTTTTGAAGTGATTTCCCTTTGCTCGCCATATCATAAGCAGAACTTACGGCTAAATGCATCACCATGATCATTGGTGAACTTGTGGACTACTGGCCTAGCTTGTATTTTAGATTTGGTTCAATTCTCAGACCATACAAAATAATTTTTCCATATACCTATATTATGTTTAATATACTGTTTGGTATCCCTTTCTTCAAATGATTGAAGTTAGACTCAAAATGCATATAATGAAAATAGTGTCAAAACCCTCAAATATTGTGTACACAAATTAATTAAATATATATCTGTTATGCTATTTGGCAAGTCATTTCTAATAATAATTATTCAATCGAACCTTGGATTTCTCCATGACGGCCTGGAGTGTATCAAAGTAAGACAGGTCACTGACGGGTTCATTGGGATTGTCCAGCATACTCGCTATCATCTGAAACAGTTTGTGGGAGTTGTAGGATATAAAATTCATCTTAGCTTAAGCAAACTAATGAATGGCGAGAAATGAAGTACATCTTAACTACCACCACCACAGGGCTACTTTATATCTTGTACACATAGAGATGAAAAGGATTTGCACTCAATCTTTTGAATTAGTAAAAAAAAAGGTTTTTAAAATAAAACAAAAAGTACCTGAATCTGTCTTAGAGCATTGTCACATTCTTTCTGTCCAGGAGCTGACTGGGTACATATGCTGAACAGGTGGTTGATGCTCTCTGTCACAGCTCTGTAAGACATTGGACAGATTTTTAAGCACAGTAAAAGCAGTTGTTGTAAGGACACGCCAGACAATGAATGGATAAAATAGCCTCATTAATGATATTGTTGAATCAGACGATGAAACACTGTGCATATATGTGGAAATGAAACAAATACAATATGTTGTTTATATCATTCATTTGACAGGAATGATTAATATTCGCTTAATCTGAAGTTTTTGTATGGTTTTTTTTTTTGGGGTGGGGGGTTTGGGGGTGGTGGTGTATAATATGTTTTTAAGTAATTAAAAAAAAAATAATAGGTTCCATCAAAGGATAAAGTTTTCTAGGTCAGTACTAGAAAATATGATTGGCTTCAGGAAATTTTCTTCATAATATAACTCGTCTTATATTTAAATATGTTTCATTGGTTAAGCTGTTGTTGTCATACATAACTCAGCTGCCATATAGCTAAAACATATGTTTTTTAATGTTAGTTTGCCTATATTTGGCTATCATCTTCCCTCTTTTCCCAATATTGTTCCCCTGGGAACACACACTTATGTGATATATGATGTTACCAACCTGGCGGCTTGGGCTAGAAGGTTCCTAGAGTTTGGTGCGTTGGGGTCAGCAGACACAGACTTGGCAGCAAGCATCAGTTTACTGGACACCATGGAAACACTCTTCAAGCCACCTACAACCTGGTTCTTGGTCTCAAGGTCCTTGGAGATCCCGGCCAAGGTCAGTCCAGTGTGGACAAAGTCCTCATAGTGGTGACTGTTGACCAAAAAAAAGTTTATTATGTAGTTGAAACAATAATATGAAGACTCTTGATGTTTAACACAGCCTAGTTCTAATAGGTTTGTGTATTGCCATAGACAGAGTTTTGGCCTTAGCCAATAGAAACTAATAATGGTTTACTTAGAAAAGCAGTGCGTTTTAAATTTATGGGATAGTAACAAGTTTCCGTCAGCAAGTCCTCAGTTGCCAATCATCAAAGGTGAAAAATTTAAGATTTTTTTGAAGAAACAATAATATTAATAAATAAATTGGACTCCAAGTGCATTTTTAATTACTTCTTACGGGTCAGTCACACTCAAAAGTTCAAGAAGCCCCATTAAAGAAGACTAGGCTAATTGATCGGGATGTAAAGCGCTTAGAGCTGTAAAGTAAGCGCTATATAAAAATGCCTAAATAAATAAATAAATATTGTGCTTTTAGCCCCATTAAAGAAGACTAGGCTAATTGATCGGGATGTAATGTGCTTATGAATTCAAATGTGCACAGTCTAGAAAAAAGTTAACAACCTGTATCTTGTAGAGGACTCGGCAAGGTGTTGTGTAGTTACTCTAGAAGATGAGACTATATCACTGGCAGCTTGGTTCAGACTCAGGGCGGCGTTGTTCATGTCGTTCTGCACTTCTTGGTAGGTTTTGTCTGTCGGCGGGAACTACAACCGGGAAACGGACAGTATCAACACACAGAAACATTAGGTCAGTTAGTAGATCAACAAATGAAATTTTTTCACACAAGTGACCTTAATAACTGATGCCTAATGCAGCATGCACACGTTATAGAAAAATCATATGTTATCTGACTTCAACCTCCTTTCATACATGGGCAGTGGTCTTCCACTGTGACCTTGTGTTTCATGGTTATAAAAAAAAAATAATCTTATTTTATAACATTAGATGGCCAGCATAAACTTCTCTATTAAAATAGAATATAACAGAAACACTTTATTCCATTCCACAAAATATTGATTGATTTACAGTTTGTTTCAAAGTTATATATTGTTTCACTATAAAACATGAAGGATATACAAAACCCGAGGCAAGTATTGCTTGTACTAATCAATCAAACACAACAAAACATATTGCTTCTCATTTCAAGCAGTGTCATTGCATAAACTCACAGCTTGAGTGCAGTCTCTCTCCATAAGAATCTATAAAACTTTTTGAAAAATGTGTTTTGTATTGTATTCAATGTAACAAAGTTCCTGACATACCCTTGGGCTGGACAAGTTCTGTGAGTTCTGTGTGATTAGTCTGATGGCATTGTCAATATCTCTCTGTCCTGGCAGACAGTTGACACAGTTGTTCAATGCATTGGACACAGATTTGGCAACCTGAAACACCATAATATAAATTTATATATATATAAAGTTGAAGTTATCATCAGTAAATTTATCAATTTAAAAAATTTCCCCCCACCTTTAATGAAATTATACAATGGGTGCCTGTGGTAAAATGAAAGCATTTTCTCATAACCAAAAGGAAGTGGGTTGAAATTCTTCTGCGGTTGTACAGAACAGTGAAATAACTTCTTAGTCCAGTAATGGAAATATGGTCCTGTAGGATTTAAATCACTAGTAAAATACCTCCCCAAATTATTGGAAAAATGAGTCTAGTTGCTGACTTGGATATAAAACTAGTTTGCTGAAGTCAGAAGTACACTGAAATATGAACATAGACTGTGAAGCCCATCTGACCTGTGACAATGAGACTACTGAAATATGAACATTGGCTGTGAAGCCCATCTGACCTATGACAATGAGACTGCTGAATTATGAACATTGACTGTGAAGCCTATCTGACCTGTGAAAATGGGGCTACTGAAATATGAACATTGACAGTGAAGCCCATCTGACCTGTGACAGTGAAGCCCATCTGACCTGTGACAGTGAAGCCCATCTGACCTGTGACAATGAAGCCCAACTGACCTGTGACAGTGAAGCCCAACTGACCTGTGAGAGTCAAGCCCAACTGACCTGTGACAATGAAGCCCATCGGACCTGCCAAAAAGAAGCGCAACTGACCTGTGACAGTGAAGCCCAACTGACCTGTGACAGTCTCTGCTGGTTGTCTGGGTTGTTTGGATCATTCATGGCGTACTTGGCCTCCTCAAGCAGACGTATGGACTGGTTGATGACATCCCTGGCGTTGTCCAGGATGGCCTGCTGGATCTGTCGGTCATCTGTTGTGGCCGCTACACCGCGGACAGAGCTGACCAGCACCTTCAGGGCGTTGACCGTGTCTCTGGCTGCGATGCCCACATAGTCTTCGTTGCCCTGTCAATAGGACAATTTCATGGTTTTTAGTCATATGAAATAACTATGGAAATTATAGTTGATATTGCACTGAAAGACCAAGCCATAAAAAGTATTAATGGCACAATTTTAGTGACGCTCTTGTGGTCACAGTTGAAACTATTTAACATTTTTTTAAAAATTTAATTTGTTCTTATTTTTCTAATGAATTTTAATCTACAATCTGAAATGGTTAGTGGTAGCGTTAGGTAGTGTGTGACCCACCTGAGCTGCAGCTGTCAGTAACTGTGCCATAGAAGAACCAACTGTCTTTGATGTGTGGCCAAGCTGGGTAGAGCTGGATTCTGCCTATTAAGGGAATGCACAACAAAAAATGAACTTAACGACCTAATGGTAAACAAAATAACTTAAAGACATTGGTAAACAAACAACTTAAAGACATAATGGTAAAAAAATAACTTAAGACATGATGGTTAAAAAATAACTTAAAGACATAATGGTAAAAAAATAGCTTGAAGACAGTGGTAAAAAAATAACTTAAAGACATAATGGTAAAAATATCTTAAAGACATTATGGTAAAAAAATCACTTAAAGACCTAATGGTAAAAAAAATAACATCGAAATAATTGAAATTTCTGCAATACTGGGTTTATTCTAATATCTAGCCAAAAGACAAAGGATTGTCACTCACGGTTTCTCCTGGTAGCCTGGTCAGCCTGCCTGACAGAGCCGCCTGTTTTATCTCAGCCAAATCCTGGTCCAGATCTCCCAGCTGGTCAAGGGCACTGTCTATTTCCAGGGACGTGCAAGCTTCCTGGGCCTGTTTGTGTAAAGCAATGAATATAACAGGTGGATAAAAAAAACAACAGGTAGATGAAGACAGACTTCATTTTGGACATTACAAAGCTAAGAATATTTTATCATCAGCTGACAAAATTATACATTAAGATAATTTGAGCTATGAATGTGGCATTAGTAATAACTAAAAATTCAATCAAAACGAAAGGGTAATAAGGGGAGAGACTGCAATCAGGTTAGCACAATATAAAATGAGTAAAACAGAGTAGGGTTAAACCTGAAAGAATAAACGCTTCAAAACAACAAACGTGTCGGCAGAAAGCTGCTCACGGATACTACTTCCCAGCTTAGTGCTATTTCTTATTTTTATTTTTATACTATTTTTTCTGTTGTTTTGTTCGCTGACGAAGACTTTCTGCCGACACATTCGTTGTTTTGTTGCGTTTATTCTTTCAGGTTTAACCCTACACTGTTTTACTCATTTTATAATCAAAACGAAAGAAAAATGGGCACATGGTCCAGACACACAGAAACCAAAAATTCAAGAATTAGCTCCCAGAGGTTTAGATCCTTATTTTAATAATAATTTAACGGGTTATCAAAAACATATATTTTGAAAAATAAACAAGTATTTTGTTCATATATGTTTAAAATTTTAATATTATTATTTTTTGTTGTTGTTGTTGCTTTTTTTGGGTATGGCAGGTTTTGAATCATCAAATAAACAATGGGCACCATGCCAGTGGGACCAATTGATGAGACTGAGCTGACTCACCTTGTTGGCTGAAGATCTGAGCTCAGCAACAGCACTGGACATAAATTTCACAGCATTGTGTAAGTTAAGTGCAGCCGCCTGGTCAGAGACAGTCGGTGCCGCGGCGTTGGCCGCCCCAATCAGACGGCTGGCCGGCTGGATGAAATCCTGGCTCGCGTTGATGAGAGCCAGCTGGGCCGTGGCGCTGTCCGGGTGGCGTTGGACCGCTCGCAAGGCTTGAACTAATGTTGGGATCTGCTGGTCTAAGCTCTGTGGAAAGTCAAATGTAAACTTGGTGATTTATGTTCTCATTTTAAAGTAAATTCAATTATAAGCAGCTTGGGACGACATAAACTGGATCAATTATAATGGGAGAGATACACTGGATCAATGATAATCAACTTTGTTCACGCTATAAACATTGAAATTGAGTAATTTATACTTATATGAATTTGTTTTGTTGTACTGATGAAGGCATTTGCTGAAACGTTTGCATATATTTTCCGTTTAACCATAATTAAAAGCTTAACAAAAACTGTTTATTTACGCACAATATTTTTGTGTGTCTAGTTAATCTACTTGAAAGCTTTATCGCAGTCAAACCCTCTTATAATTCAGACTATAAAAATGGAAATTTTAATTTTTGTAATTAATTAACAGATAAAGCTTTCATCCTTATGCTCTTAAGATCCAGTTTAAAAAAAAATTGAGGAATGAAGAAAGTTGCAGGCTCATTAGAAAACTTATATAACAGAAAAAATCTAGAGTTTTAGTCCAGCTTTTTATCTTGCTCAAGTAAGACCAGGTAAGCTGAACTCCCCCAGAACACAAGCCTGTACTGACCTGAGCAGCGGTGGCCATCTGTTGGTTAGATGATGGGTTGCAGTTGGTCTTGTACGCCTGGTTGGAGGCATTTATCAGTTGGGTGGCTGCTGCGGCAGCCTGGTTGGCTGAAGACTGAAAAAAAAAAAAACAACTCATCTCATACCATGACATTGCCAGTTGTTTCTGTGGAATTATTTAGGCAAACAGATGCGTCTATACTGGGAACCGCTCATCAAAATATTTACATTTACCCTTTCTGCTGATGCTCTATTTGTTCTAGCTGATGCAGAAGTGAGAGACATTGTGACAGAAACACCTATTTAAGCAAATCTAAAACATTTTAAGTAAAGTGTAAAATAATATTTGTTAAGTTTATTTTGTTAACAAGTTGTGTTTTTTATTTAATTAAGTGCAACTGGTTTTTACAAACTTATTCAGTTTCCTATTTAGGAGAGAGCAACTGATAAAATTCATTGCCGTACGCCAAAGGACACATGCCCAAATGGCTACTGGATCTGAATGATGATGGTGAAATACATCCACTAAATATGTTATACAAGGTATTGTAACTAAATTTGTTTTCTCGGGGGGGGGGTGGGGGGGTGTGGTGTTAAAAGTAATTTCTGCTAGTTGTAAATCATACTTCTTTTATTTGTTCTATTATTTTTGCAAAACTCTTTCCAGGAGAAATTCCATCAGTCACAGCTAACTCCTCACACAGCCTACTAACCTCCAACTTGGTCATCAGTCTCTTCTTCAAGGCATTGCTGGCAGCTGTGTTTGTGGCTGACCTTAGCTCTTCAGCGGCTGTCCTCAGCATCTGCTGCTGGTTTGAATCATTGGGACTGGGAATGGAGAAGGCATTCAGCAATAAGTTACATTTCACTTTCATCAAACTGAATTGTCAGAATGTAATATGACTGTAATAACATTAATTTTGTTCTCATCATTTTGCTCAGTTCCACTAGCAATACATTCTACTTGGAATATTAAAAAAAAATAGTAATGTCTCTGTGTATTGTAAGCACCTTGTGGCACATCCTTTAGCAGCCTCAACCAACTTGGCTGTAGCATCTGCCAGCTGCTTTGCTGCTGCCAGCAGTCTCTTCTGTGTGTCTGAGTCTGTGTGGTCCTCTGCTTGACCTCTGATAGCGCTCACCAATGTGGAGGTAGCCTGGGATAAACAACATTTTTTTTCTATACAATTTCATTCTTTTTCTACATTCTATTTTCACAATCAAATGCTATTTCTTTAATAGACATCATTTAACTTATTCAAGGATATGGATGATTAACAATTTTAACATCATTCTTACAGATTACGCAGTACAGATTTTTTTAAATGACTTGAAAAGCATTCTGCCTATCCAATTAAGCAACATAGATGAATATTAAACACTTTCTAAAATGAAACTGAAAGCAGAAGATGTCAAAGTTATTTCTCATAAAAATATTTGTAACTCAAGTCAAAATGATATTATGGAGTCATTACCTGAGCCAGCTGTTTGGCCTGCTTGACCATCTCATGGGCATCTCCCACAGAACTAAACAGTCGGTCAGTAACATTGATGATGGTGTCCACTGCCTCCTCGTGCTGTTCATTGGCCTGATATCAAGACAAAAAAGATTAGCTAGGCAGAGTAAAATAACAGTTCACCATAACCAAGGCACAATGCACAGAAACTGTTATTAATTTAGAATGGTAAAATGAATAAGTTGTAAAATTGTTTAAATCATATAGATATATTCTATTATTAAATCATATATATATGATTTTACTCTTTTAAAATATTTAACAGCTATAATTCAAGGCACAGAGAATTTTATTTGAATGCAATCTGTAGTGGGCTCTCAAACTTTAACTACCAGATGGGTCCCAGGAGGAAAATTTGAGGACCTGGGCAAAACTTTAATAACTTTAATGTTGTATCTTATAATGATGAGTAGAACAAATCAGTTTGAAAAAAACAATTCAAAAATAAAACTTGAAGGACATCATGATGCCCTGGGGCCAAGAGTTGGAGAACCCCTGATCTAGTGTCACATCCCCTTACATGAGCTGGGTTGGCAGCCTTCTTGATATGCATCAACAGATCATTGAGAGCTTTAGTCACTGCTGTGGCGGCAGATCCCAAGTCTTGCAGTAAGTGGTCATCCTTGCAGGCAGCCTGAGACGTCTCGACAATGCCCTCGACTGACTTGGCTACCAGTTTGGCTGCTTCTATGAGCTGTTCCTGGCAAGCTGGATGACCAATGGTTGGGGCAACAACCTGCAAGAGTTGATGTCGGTTGTGTAAATAACATGCCAGGCTCATTTGTTTACCAATCATTAAAAAGATGTATCAATAATTAAGCGATACAATGCCTGAAGATGAATAGTCCTATATCATATATTTTAATGTATTTTAAAAACAAATAGTCATGAAAAAGGTAAAAGAAATATTGAGCCGAAGATTCTGATTTAACAAAATAATAATTAACAAAAAAATTTAGTGAAATAAAAAAAGTGTGCAACTTCTTTTAGAAGCCTATATCTTTTCTTTCGGTTATATTAAGGTTTTGCTAAAAATCTTAAAACAAAACCACTTGACTATTTTTCAAACCCCTCCTCTAAATATTCAAGTTACAATAATTGGCGAACTAGAAATGTTCATGATTTTGTTTGACACACACAATTAAATGACAAAGTCCTATATGACACAAAAGTTCAACTCTGACCTTAGTGCAGGCAACAAGCTGGGACGTGGCAAGAGCACACTGTGTAGCTGAGGAGATGACCCGGTCCTGTTGGACAGGATCATCTGACGTGTTGGCCACAGTCTTGGCCTTGAGCACCAGGGATGCTGTAGCGTTGGCCACTGCTTTGGCTAAGGCAAGTAAGGCTTCCTGAGGAGACAGGTCAACAAGGAAATATTTAACTTAGCTTGCTGAAAAGGGGTACACTGATACCTTTATTCGGCATAAGGCATAAACAAATAACTGTCTGGCGAAGGTTAGGGACCATGATGACAGCTGCTATGAATGGATTTGAGGTGTGGACTGGGTGCAAACCATTAATGATAAAATCTTTCGAGCTATTTGAAAGGGTGCTCCAAGGCAGTCATTGCATTCCTGCGGCTCGCACTCTAATGACATCGGTCACTCGCAACGCCTCTCAATTATCATGCTTGTAAATAGTTACCTAAAAGGTAATACAAGGTAACGGTGGCCTACAAAAAATTATACGATGTCCTTAAAGACATTAAATGTAAACTAAAAAAAAATTAGATTTTTATTGTCAGCAGCCAACAATTATTCAGATCTTAAGACATCATAGCTAAATGTGTCTATCAACAAATACAAAATGTCAACATCAATGTTTCATACCCAGTTAATACCAAAAAAATATAACATCAATAAAAGTTTCAGGCCTTCAAAAGAGAATTCTCCAGGAGCGCTCTTATTTTCCCCAAAAACAACAAATCATAAAATGATTAAAGTTAAAGTGCACATACCTGGTAGATTCTGTCCAAGTCATCCACAGTCTCCCCTACCTCGTGGATCACTTCCTGTGAGGCTTCACCAATGCGTCCTGCTGCAGCCAACAAATTCTGTCTTGGCTGAAGAAGAAAGAGACCAATTTTCTCTTGAGCAAGATATATATTAAGTTAAGGCAGAGTTTTGACAAAGTTACATCAAATCAACATGGGTCATGAAAGATTTTTTATTAGTTTTTGCAGTTTTCTCAGTTAATTTGACATGTGGTCAGCATTTTTTAACCAGGAAATACAATGTTTTTGTTTTTTTTGTGTGCTTCTCATTTCAAGCTTTTGACAATCATTGTGCTTTACATTTCTTTTTTTTCAGCTGGATCACATTATCTCCAAATAAAACATTTAAAAAGTATAAGAACTTAGAATGTATTTATCAGCTTTACATGGCGGAGTGAAATCTGACAAGATAATCTGTAAAACACAACATGAGGTGCCGTGTTTGCGTAGACCTACTTCTTGGGTGCCTGGCTCGGCGGCTTTCAACAGATCTGAGAATGCTCCAATCAGGCCGCGGGCAGCGTCCAATAACCTCTGACCCGAGTCACCCTCTTCCTGGAGAGTTGCCAGCATCTTGACGTCACGGCTAAAGTCTCCAACATTGGAGGTTCTGGAGACAAATACCCCAAATGTTATCAAGTTCATTTAATGTAACACATTGCCAAAAAAAACCACATTGATTTTAGCTGTTTACCTTGACCTTAGTATGCTCATGACAACACATACATTTAAGAAATACTTGAAACATTTATAGTCAGAATTGATGTTAAATCCCCAATTAATGATGGGCCTTAATTTAATTTGTTAAGTTTCTGCCAAAAATCAATTTCTATTAAAATTAAATTAAATTTTGAAACAATAATTTTTTTTTATAGTATTCAAGTTTATGAAATGTTTTGCGTTAACATAAACAAAATTCACACTTAAAAAAATTCTATTCATAAATTTCGCAATTATGTTTTACCTTTTTATTTAACAGCATGGCTGGAAGTAGACATGAAACAATTTTTATGACAACGTAAAATAAAATGCTAAAGGTTGGCTTACATTTGATTGACAGCTGCCCCAACGGCAGTGTAATCAATATCATCCTGTTCACCAGATGTTAAGGTCACCAGCTGAGCTGTAGCCGCATTCATGGCAGATAACTGGGAGCCCACTTTCTGTCTGGACAGGTCAAGCTGGTTTTCACGCCACTTCTTGGACGCCTGCGGTTACAATGACAAGTGAATACATTAGTTATTTTCCATTTTAATATCCTCTCACTCTAACCAAGTTACAATATAATAACAGAAGCCGGAGAGAGAGAGAGTTGAATTAAATTTTTTTAAACTAAGATCAGCGAGAGCAAAGATTGCGTACCTGATCATCTCCAAGTATGGGCATGTCCGACTTCTTGTTGAGATTATCCTGGGCTGAGTCTATAGCCCCCAAGCCATCGGAGATAGTCAAGATGAAAGCCCTCTGTGCCTGGGTCAGCTCGTGCTGTATGATGGTCTGACCCTGGGAGATTGAACAACACTATTAAAGTCATGTACCTCATTGCCTGGGTCAGTTTTGCAGAGACAGTTTCGCAAAGTAAAAAAAGAACTTGACAATGCAACACAAAGGCGTTATGTTAGAAGCTCCAAATAGTCAACAAATTTAAAGTGTTATATAAAGATTTGATTCAACATCAATTTTATAGCAAAATGACAACATAAATTAGTAAATAATTTTATTGTTATAAAGAAAACCAATAAATTAATATCAAGACTCTTCAATTATAAATATTATCTTTCAGCTCCACATGTTTTATGCACTTTTATTAATTTTTTTTTAAAAAATGTTTCGTTGTAAAATTTAGCCAATATCAAAAAAAAATTTTTTTAAAAATATTTCCAACATGAATTAGGTTTCATGCAAACAACATCATATGGTAATAGTTGATTACATTTTAAGACACTGTACTGCAAAGATATATGATATGATCTAGCAGAGAATTAGTGTAGATAATGAGAATTTCTAAAAACCAAAGTATCAGTAAGAATTTCTTTATAAAAACATGCTCTGTTAAGCTCATCTTGATGAATGCATTACAACGGTCAGCACAATTTGAGATGGTGCACATTGAAATACACAAGATGTCAAGTTAGGTCATACATGATTGGTAGCAGATTATGAGAAATGTCAAACTCAAAAATTTATAAGAAGTGTTTTGCTTTGTTTTAAATTCATGTCTGTTTAAGTTTAACAAAGACTAAATGTTTTAGAAATGTTAAGGAGAAAAAAATCCTTAATTAGTTTTTCACTTTTAAAATGTTCAATTAAATGTATCATTTAATTATCTGGGTTAAAGTATGCAAAGTTTAATTATGAATAAAAGTTGAGGTGAATATAAGAAAGTTAGAGTAAAGTAAAAGTAAACAATTGAAAAATTTGAATAGGGAGAAAAAAAAGTTGTTTTTTTTCCCCCCTTAAATATTAATGAAGATTGGTATAATTGTTCCACTGGTAGGTGACTTATTTTATATAATTACTGACATAAATATTCCTCTGCTTGAAAAGATTTATTATGCCTTCAACTGAAGATTTTTAGAATGTTTAAAATTACCTTTACCATCTACACAAGGGAAAGCTCTTCGGCTGAGAGTAATGTTTCAGCCATAAGTGAAAGATAAGGGTTTAAGTATAAACAGATGTGTTCAAAGCTGCATGTGTTGTGTGTTTGAAAATAAAATATGTAGCAAGCAATGAGAAAATACAGACATAACATAATTGAGCAAGGAAAGTTATTTTGGACTACTTCCTTTCTTTAAGAAAAAACAACATAACATTATTTTCATTTACATAATGTCTGTGAATGAAAATGTTTAACATTTATTGTTCAGGGATACATGCATATTAAGAATTAGTACAGTAAATAGTTCTAGTTATTGTAACTACAGGATGTAGTTATATGAAATGTTTAAAAATTTAATCACAAAAACAATTTTGAAATGAATAATTTTTTACTATTGTATATTGTTTGAATTATTTTTATAACTTAAATTTTTCATTATCAAAAATTTTAGAAGAGAAGTTGGGTAAAAAAAAAAAATTATAATAAAAGAATGAATTGGCTTATGTTAAATATCACACAGAAATATATATTTGGTGCAAACAATAATGAATGCTGGCTTAATTTATTAGAACATGCATCTACTATTAAGAACACACATACACTGGATCCTGACTGCATTCCACTAGTGGGACCCCCTTCCATGAGGTCAAAACTTGACGAGCTCTTAGCCGAGCCATTAATCTCCCCAAATTCACCGGTATCACCCTGTATTACCATAGCAACATGGGGGAAGGAAGTGGTTTAAAAGAACATTAGGTGCTGGAGGATGGTACCATGCCTGTCATTTACAAAAATACATTAAAAAAAAAAAATACTTTGTAACAGCAATAACAAAAATAAATAAATGCAGTTATTAACTCATGAAATGCAGATCCACTCTGGGGTTATGTGCCTAGAACACACAGGATTGTTGTGCAGACAAAGACATGTTAGCCCACATGTGCGCTTTGTGAGAACATCTAGTACTCAACACCTTCCACAATATCAAGAATTAGAGGCTTTTTAAACAACTTTTAGAAACATGTACTGTAAATTATTCAAACACACAGAATTTCTATTACTACAATTTTACTCAGAATATTTATACACTTTGACTTTCTGTTAAACAGGATGGGGCTATAATATAAAACGTGTAAACCAAGAACTCCTACTAATATACTAATATGATGGGACACAAAAATTAACACACATGATAAGGTGTAGAAAGGAAACAATACATAGCCCAATTATGTCTCTTGCCATCAGGCTATAATGTTTAGTCTTTTTTTTTTTTTTTTCTAGAGCTATAAACCACCATGTACAAATTAAAACTCTAATGAGGGGTTATGGTGACAATTTAGCATTAAACCCTTATTCCATGAAAACCATTTCCATGTAAAGTGCCAATTGGTTTTGACAGGTAATGTCAATTATGTCTCTTGCCATCAGGCTATAATGTTTAGTCTTTTTTTTTTTTTTTTCTAGAGCTATAAACCACCATGTACAAATTAAAACTCTAATGAGTGGTTATGGTGACAATTTAGCATTAAACCCTTATTCCATGAAAACCATTTCCATGTAAAGTGCCAGTTGGTTTTGACAGGTAATGTCAGTAAAACATGCATTTACCCACTGTGTGAAATCACAAGGAACAGGGAGTTGGTGTGTCAACACAAAATATTCATTGTTGCAATTATTATTTAAGATCCTGTTTCTAACTGTTGACACCCTCCCAGCCTGGAGTTTTCATAATTTTGTTAGGAAACATTTTTTGTGTGCTAAATATCCTTATTTAGTTTTCCTTTATCTGACAACAGTAATGGACCATCTAAACTGGGAGAAAGTTCATGAATGAAATTACCTTTCTTCTTTTTTCGTTTGCCTGAGGCCGATGCTGAGACAGAAAATAACTACTCAGACACATAACCAGAAAAACAGATCTATGATTTTTTAAGAAAAGTTAATTTCAGTTACTCCAAACAAAGAATCATGATCAGGATTTCCATCAGACATCTTCCTTCCTTACCCTCTATGCTTTTTCAATTACCAAAACACATTGAATAACAGAGATGACCTAATTTTCAATCATGAATTCAACTACAAAAAGGAATTTTCCCATAAGACTGTAAAGACTGTGGAAAAAAGACCTAAATGTACTGTATGGCTGCAAGGGCTGCGAAAAAAAGACGTAAATGCACTGTTTGACGGTAGGGAATGCCAAAAAAGACATGAATGCACTGTTCAATAAATCAATGGCAAATAAATCTGTTTTTGCTTTCCATATTTTTTGGTATGATGAATGCAAAATTTAAATACTTTTCATGACATTCATGCAATGTCTTATAAGAGCTGAAGAGGTTAAAAAAAAAAAAAATTTAAAATTTAACTCCTACGTCATGCCAATCAAAAATGTTAATAAACTGTTAGGTGTAGATCAAAAGTAGAGAAGTAAAACTAGACTATACAAGAAATGTTTACAGAATATCGATAAATCTTAAATATTTTTTTTTTTTAAGTGGAGGCTTTAGGGATTAGACAAGACTGTATCAGCATACAGAGGTGGCATTTCATTTTGTTACGTTTAAAAAAAAAAAAATAATAATAATAATAATAATTCTCAATTTCCTTTGGTGAATTAATTTTTTTAATTTTTAGGAGAGCATTAATTTAACAAAAGATTGAATATTTTGTTACTGTGATGGACTTGGTATATTCCCTTAAACCTGTTTGCTCATCAACTTCATGTTGTGCATAAAATAGGGTAGATATTTGCTGGTGATCATCTTCCTAAGATGTTTTAACACAAACCAAGCTCTTTGATTAAATAAGCCAAGCTTATGGTACTCTAGTCCAGATTGGAAAACCACTGCACACAGTGCAATAGCAGAGAGAGATATATCAATCACCACACTAAGAAATACAGCTTAAATCTCACAACACAGCTGGTAAAGGCCAGGTCAAATATTACCTCAGCAAAGAAATAGATCACTAAACAATGTCCAATCTTTCTCTCTTCGTTGCTATAGTTTATTATAAACTAGCAACCCATTACTTGAAATATCTAATAATCTGTTCACCAGATAGTATTAGGGGGTGAATAAATCTCAAAGTGAACAATAAAAATTATGCTTTTTCGTGTGTGTGCAAATTTTACTTTGACCATGATTTAATGACTTTAAGTTCTTCAGAATTAAACTTTGATGAAATTTCCTGGGACAAAATGACTGAAATGAGAGAAAGTTTCATTAAGAGAGGGCAAAGGAAAGTCACTGACATGCCGAGCTGATGAACCACTCCGTGCGTTATTAGACTGTGAAGACACCTGTCCACGCTGCAAAGAGCCGACGGCGATCTTGTTCTCGCCCTGGTAGCCATCCCTGAGTAGGCCAGGCATGGAGACGTTTCCAGAGTTAGGGTGTTTGACATTGCCAAGGTTGTGCTGGATGATGGTCGCCCTGGAAACAATGGCACAATGAATGATCACAGATGAATGAACATGATAAGTTAAGAAAGATAGACATTAACAAGATATGATAAGAATGATAGACATTAACAAGATAGTATAAGAATGATAGACATTAATGGGATAAGTGAGGACTAAAACCAGGAATAGAAATATTTTGGACCTCAAACAACAACTGAGTAAGTGCCAATCTAGGTTATTATCACAGAAGGATAAGCAGACCCAAAGATTAAAAAATCGCCTGTCATTATCACCTAAGATCAGCTCGATCAGAGAAATTCTTTCTCTTAAAGTAAGGACCGAAATATTTAAAAATTATTTTGTTCCCACTTCTGTACGAATTTAAAGCAACGCGGTTACCAAATCTAAATGATCCTTAAATTAAGATAATATTGTCACTAAGTGAGTTCATTGCTGGCTGATTTCTACGTTAGAGAAATACTTTTGATGTCTTGTTATTAAATTGATATAATTGTAAAATGTTGTCTTGGTTAAAATATGTATTTATTCATGTGCTGAAAATAAATAAGTACAATGTAATAAAAAAAAAAAAAACATTTCCTTTTATTTGGATGGATAAAGAATATTTTCATCTTATCTTATCAACAATGAATGATTTTACCGTATTTTAGCACAATAAAGGGGAAGCTAAATGCATAAGCTTTAGCTTACTGTTTCTATTCACACACCACGCTAGGTAAGCCCATTGCTCATTTAATGAAAGCTTTTATATAATCCAGCCAAGGGTTGACAAAATATTTTATTTTGGCCCACTTTCATTTATTTCCTATTTCAGAGCAGTGATGAATTATTTTAAACACAGCATGGTCCTATTTCAGAGCAGTGATGAATATATAATACAGCATAGTTAACTTACTGTCCAGCTTGGACGTTCTCTTCATACATAGTGGAGTTGTCATCCCCTTCAATACCCAAGTGGTCTTTAGCTTTTTTCTGAGAATAATATGGGATGAAAATATTTTTTGAGAAATATATTGGTATATTATGGATAACAATGCAAAGATGTAGAACCCAGTGCCAATTCATCCCCCTAATCACGCATTTAAATTTATGGCACTTGAGGTTTCCTCTTGCTAATGTTGGAATTCAAGTTTGCACCCTAGAGGGGTGATGCAAAGACTACTGTAGGTACAACACAACCTAGTTAGATAAAATATCTGAGATTTTTTTTTAAAATATATATTAACAAACATTAGTGAATACAAAATAATTTTTCTTTTTCAAAATGTGTATGTACAGATAGTGCTCGACTAACGACCATGATCGGTTCCGACAGACCGGTCGTAACACGACGTGGTCGTACATTGAGTACGCTATGTGTACAGTAATGTGAAGTGATGTTATAAAAATACTTAAGTTAAATTATAACATAAATTTCTTTTTTATTGTTATAAATCATAACTTTCAATGTTTATTTTATGCCATTTGTATAATCTCTACACCATTTTGTTTCTTATTTTTACATCGTCAGGTTTAAGAAAAACACTGCATTAACTTTACATGTACAGCTGGTTTAATATTTGCAAAACGTATTTTGTATGTGTGGAAAATACTATAGGAAACATTTTCCCCATCGCAAAACACATCAAATTCTCATTAACATCAAAATATATAAACAAAAATAAAAATAAATCTGAAATCTAATATGGCTAGCGATTGTGGGCGTTAAGTCGAATGGTCGTAAGTTGCATAGATCGTAAGTTGACCACTACCTGTATTATTATAACTTTTAACCCTTCTGTTGTTTAAAAACAGTGTAAGGGGGGTTTTAGTTGTAAAATAATTATTCAGCACCATAGCCTTGGAGCGATGCAATGGCTATTTACACAGTATCGTTCATTGCCTTACCTTTCTGAGGATAATATCAATGTAGCCTGCAATAAGCTGTGAGATTTGCTCTCCTTCTGTTGTCTGGACTGAGTAGTATGTGTCAGAGTAGTCACCAAAATCCTGCAGGCAGTACAACAATAAAACATGAAGCAGAGAAATCAGCCCAGACTATAATCTTATGCTTTTTCTCAATGTGCACAGGAATTCAGTGTTACCTTGAGAATTAAGTTCCATGTACTTGCAAGACCGAACAGATGAGGACCAGATTAAGCTTCAATGGTAAAACATAAAGACGTCCCTAACATTCCCATGCAATGAAGTATTATGAAGCACAAACACAAAGATTGGCTCTCACTCAACACACACTCATGAAGATCATGAAGTAACCAAGAAATTTTTCTCCTAGGCAGGAAATGTACTTGAAGAGGTGGAGGCCTTCGCCTACTCAGGCAACACAGTTTAGATAAATGGTGGATCAGAAGCTGATGTCAAAATACTCCGACTCTATGGAGCTGAAGCGTGGAAAACAACAGCGTGCATCACGCAGAAAGTACAGACCTTCACAAACACTTGCCTTAGAAAGATCCTGAAGATAAAACAGCCAAACAACATCACCAACAAATACTGAAAGGACATGCCAATAGCCTATTGCTGAAGGGAAAAGAAGGAGGTGGATAGGACAGACTCTTCGTAAATCCCCAGATACCATCAACCAGACAACATGGAATCCACAGGTAAAAAGGCCAGAGAATACATGGGGATGTGCGCTTGAGGCAGACATAAGAAGTGTGGGAAAAAAACTGGAAGCAACAGGAAAGGAAAGCACAGGACCAATGGAAAATTCTTGTAGACAGCCTATGCCCCAGGTGGGGTAAAAGGCATCAGAAAGTAGGCAATGTCTATACGTCCAAGTCACACGACCGCCGTAACAAAGTGGCGAGAGATATTTTATCAGCCTCATCATGTGACCTCGAATGAGTCAAAACTATTGTTAATTTTAGAATCTATTTCTCTACCAAGTATTGTACATCTTGCATGCAAATGATAGAAAAAAACTGAAGTGAAAGTGGCTTGTAAATATTTTTGTTTAGTTTGTTATTTGAGTTTGTGTACCAGCAACCCATAACATAATTAGGGGACAGTATTCAGTATGGAGTAGGCAACCAATAAAAGTAAAAGATTTTAAATTGTAAAGTAAACATTTTAAATTGTTTAAATTGCTAAAAATATTTTAAAACTTCTCATAAAACTACTGTTGCTGATGAACATGATAATATAATATAAAATATTTTTAATTAAAATGGGGGGAAAAAAGGGTTCTTAAAAGGAAATATAATATCGTCAAGCGGCCACACTACCACATGACCACACACGATCTTCTTAGTAGATACTTCCTTCAGAATAATAACGCCTACTAGTCGTCCGGCGGTCAGGTGACATGCTCGCCGGACGTATATTTCCCACACTATTTGTCCGGCGCGCCGGACTTGTAGACACTTCGATTAAAAAAAGTAGGTGGGGTCCATGAGCATGATGTCTTACAATATTAAAATAATTTGGACACGTCCCATGCCCATAGACATAGATCGTAACACAATCATGAACCTCTTCCCCCTCGATGTGTGATGACATTTATGGTTGGCCCCTCTTCAGTGGTTAAGTAAATTGATGATGATAATGCTGTGCTAATTTGTAATAATTTGAAGTGTATTTTTCCATAGGGGCTAAGGCTAGGCCTAAGTCCTAATTTCAAGGTCTGAACTTTGGGAAAATCTGGGAAAAGATTTACTTCAAAAGAAGCAAACTTATTAATACTTAGGCCTACAATCTTTAACATTGAAGAAAGTTTAGCAGCTGGGCTTATGAAACCTTACTTTGCAAATTTAACTTTATATATTTAATTCACAAGTTTAATTCTATTAAGGAGAAGTGGCTCTGCTAGTCCTAATATCACAGGCTATTGCAGTCCACAGGGATTTGTCCCAGTGGCCCAGACCACCCCTGTCTATGTCTAATATTTTACTAACAATAAGACCACTAGGCCAGGAATTTCTGTTGTCAATTTCAAAAAAATCATATGTCCATTGTTTTATCAACAACACCTTATAATTCTAACATCTGGTCAAAGGATGTAATTTACCTGCCTAGTCTCAAAGGATGTAATTTACCTACTGAGTCTCAAAGAATAATTTACCTGCATAGTCTTAAAGGATTTAATTTACCTTCGTAGTCTTTGTGAACTTAGTATAATATATGCTTAAAAGTTTCCTAATCAAAGGGAATGAACTGCATGCTTCATTAATTTATTATTGCCATTTAGATTCTTCTGGCTAGAATCTCTAAAGAATAAATCTCAGTCTGGGAGCCTCTGTCCTAGTCGTATTAAACACATTTCTTAAAATTTTTTGCTAACACCTAGCATCCCCTCTAACATCCGAAATATATATGATAATCTTGATCCTGAGAATGCGCTTTATCCAAAAATAAATCCAGCTAGTGCCTGTAAGAAATATCCAAAGGAATTATTAGAAAAGGTAGTTTCACTGATTATTTTGGGGTATGATGATTCAAATAGGGTCTTTGCACATTCCTAATTTGGTGCAAATTAGATAAAAATCCCTGTCCCTTTAAAAAAAATAATAATTATCTCACCATCTAAATTTCCTTCTAACATATTGAGCATTTTTCAGTAAAAAAAAATTAATTAAAAAATGGAAGAAGACCATTTAGATTGATAGCTTCTTATCTTTAGATTAATCGGTAGCTAGAAACTAACTAAACTGTAGCGGAGCTCTTTTGAAAATTCTGCTCCACAACCTTTTGTCTGTAGCATACATTTTTTTGTAAACATCAAAGAGTTATATCTTGCAGGTAGAGACCGACCGAAAGTGATTTTCTGATTTCGGCCGAAGCCGAAAATAGACCGAAAGTTTAAAAATGACTTTTCGGCCGAAACCGAAAAAAAGCCGAAAGTTAAAAATGAATTTTGGCCGAAGCCGAAACCGAAAATGAAATATTAAGATATTTTGAAATTCGTTCCCGCATACATTCTGCTTACATCAAAAATGATGTGGGAAAGTATAAATATTTACATTCTTTTTATAAAAATGAGATAATCGTAAATATTAATAAATAAACATCTAATTTAGGGGTCTCAAACGCGCGACCAGCGAGCCATTTTGACCCGCAAGACGATATTTTGCGGCCCACTACATGACAGAAAAGTTTAGTGTAAATGCGCCGGCCCGTTTCCCCCATTCTCATATATATAACGTGACTCTCCACGACGGTTTCAGTCGATCTCACCGACTAATCTAATTCTGATTTTTTTTTTTAATGACTCTATATATTTTTGTATGCCAGGTCTCTGGCAACAGTGAGTAGTTCTTGAGATCCCTTAATTATTTCATTGTTATTTATAAAGGTTGACCAGATTGTAACAGTTGTAATCGCTTTTTT